CCTGAAAAAAGAGAAACCTATATTTTTATGTGCAATCAAAGTAGTAACAGCTTTAACCCCTTAAGGACCAAACTTCTGGAATAAAAGGGAATCATGACATGTCACACATGTCATGTGTCCTTAAGGGGTTTAAACAACAACAACAAAAAACTATTTCTTCTAAAAGATCTTGTGATTTACTACTTTGACTCGGGGGTGGGGTTGAACATAAGGACAGCTACACTGTAATTGATACTAAGACACAATGCCTCCAAACACACTAAAAAATGAGATATATCAGTGTTAATGGTTGTGTGTCTGCATCATTGTTGGGAACCCACCTAGTAGCCAACAGGAATTCTAAAATAAATACCACTATGGAATCTTTCATGAACCTAAATTGTTTTTCTGCACTATTTTTGCCTAAATGTATATTGACTTCCTTGATGTTCAGCCAGTATTACAGCTGCCAGGGCATGACTGGAGTTGACGGCTACAATAGTGCTCTATGAATACACATTTTTCATTTAATACTGTGTGTGCAGATGTAATTTAGGTGCTCAGGCTAAATTAATTATGGCTATATGAGGGTTATTATAGTCGGTTTTCCCTTTTTAGAACACCTGCATTTAACAGAAATTTAATTTTCCATTGTATAAATTACTCCCAATATTGTTTTCCTGTAGTTGCTGAAGCTCTGCATATACTTCTTGCCAGCATTCTAGATTATACATAGTAGCAAGTGTTTATAGGTGGTAACTAGGGCAACAAATATAGCTTGCAAGGCTTTTCGTTTCATTGTTTGCTAAAGCCCTGCGAATACCGAATAACCTTCAGTGCTTCTATGTAGCAACTAGGTTACTCAACGGTTCATGCAAGAATAACTTCTAAGGCTTTTAGAGCTAGTTTCTCTGTACTTTATAAAGACGTGAATATTTCTTGTTGGCGTACTAGATACTGCATAGCAACCAGTGTTTTATGCAGTAACTAGGAAGCACAATATCTCGTAATAACTCACAAAGATTTTGTAAATACAATGAAAACTAGATCACAGTTGAAGTAAAATGGTGCAAACAAATTCTCTTATAAACAAGAACAGGGAAAAACGTTTCAAGTAAAATATAATAAGGGGAAATTCTTGTATACAAATATGGAGTCTTAATGCTGGCAGTGAATCAAAGCCATAGAACTCCTACTCCCATTATGCCTAACAAATATTTATTTTGTATATCATATGTGAGCTGACAAAATCATTGCTCACCCCTAGCCAGCTTGCAGCAGCTGCTGCTGTTGGAGGCTTGAGAGACTCACTGCAGTCACTGCAAATAATACCCTAACTTTTAATAGAGAGAAGCTAGCCGAAGATCACTGCTGCACGCGGTAAGATGTTGCAAGCAAATGGAGTTTACTGGCTTACGCCATGCTTCATTATGGGCAAATTGGCCCTCTAAAATAAATAAAATTCAAATTATTGTATTTGAATCGTAACCTATACATGCAAGTCACTGCATGCTATACATTTTCTGAAAGGATCTAATTCAGATGGTTCCTAGGGATGCATATTTCTCAGTCGACTCATTTTCAAACGATCCGATTAATATGCTAAGAGATTAGTTCCCTTCAAGTTCTTTAAATGGGGCACATTTTAAGTTCTTTCCTGTTTTCGAAAATTGTTAGTGAACATAATGGAATATATATAAAGGTACAGGGTATATTAGCTGTGGTGTGTAACAAGTAAAATTGTACAATGTTTGAGTCTGGTGCAATCGCTATTTGCACCAGTTCAATGTACCTGTTGATAGCTCCACTCTTTAGAAGCTTGTTATTAAATGGGTTATGATCCATTATTACTGCCTAGAGAGAACAAATGGCAAACGCCAAGATACAGAGAAATGAAACATTCAAAATAATGGGATTTTATTCACACTGGAACAAATCTTAAAACCAAGAAACTTATAACTTTTTATAATAAAAAAAACTCTTTAAAAGGTTTCATATATTTGAATACTTCAGCCCAATGTAATTCTGTAATTGTAAAAATGGCAGTGCAACATATAGATTTATTAGAAACATTATTTTTTTATCTGCTTCTTTTGACTTTATCATATTGATTTCCTAGACTATAATTTACACAGCACAAAAGAATAAATCCACTGAAATTTAGAATTTTCCTAAAATAGATATTTTTTTTCTTCTGATTTCCCTGTAATATGTTATCTTAAGCAATTCTCAAAAAAAAAAAAATTCCATATATGATGCCACTGGTTCTCAAACCTGAGTGCTATGTACTTGAAAAATTGTGTGTGATATATGGGACCTACTTCTCAATGTCTGGCACCGAATTCATCAAATGGACTGCAAACATTAACATTCCATAATCTGTGTTTTACGTGAGTGACAACCTATTGATGATTTGTCGATTTGTCAAGTATTTTTTCCCTTTCAGATTCTGCTGTAGAACTGCATTCTAAAACCTTGATCTTTTAGCCCTATAAGGCTGAGCAACACGTTGGTCTACAGTTCAAAGATGGCCCCTCTGTTAGAGAGCTCTTAATTCTGTAATTTCCAGTCGGAGCCGCAGTATTAATGTCTTTTGTAACTAGTTCGGACACTGCTAGTCCTTTTCTCCCTTATCATTTTCCACGCTTGTTATTGTAAGATATGTTTTCTACAGTGGAGATAATGTTTTTTGTTTTGCCCTATTATTTTTTTTACAGGAATCTGCAATATATTTCTATATCGAAATCAGGGAGAATCCTTTTCAGGGAAGAGCTTGCAATGTTTTGCTGAAACTATGTAGTGTCTGAGAGGTTTAAGATATAGTATTGTTAAAACGGAGGAATAGAAAGGAAGCTGTTAAAATAAACTGTACCATAGAATCAATCCGTTACTTAAGAAATATATTGACTACAGAGTATTTGTAGCACATTTTAACATGATCCTTCATTTTATTTTAATAAATAGGTTTATTTTTTCCATTTTTTAATAAACTCTTGAATATATGAAATGAAGGTGCCCTCCATTTTTCCCCCAGATTTTTGTCTCTTGATGACTATTTTTCATATTAGAAGGAAAGAGATGTTCAGTGAGAAATATATATATTTTTAGACTTTCATGTACCGTTTCCTTGAACAAGATTTCTATTTGATAAGCTTTAGGATATGGCTGTGTTTGTCTGTTCAGTGAGTGCCTGTGTCTTAGGGATAGCTCATATAAGACAAATGCAAATCTATCTTCGTTCTTCTTTAACTTCTGTAATGTCAGAGGACTTTTGCATCGGAGGCCTCTTTGTCTTTAAGGGGGGATAATATTGGTAAAAAGAATATAGATTATGGTAAATTTGAATGTGACTATGTGATTATGCTATAAAATTGTCTATATCCCATTTTTTTGTAGGCTGTAGTTGAAAATGCCTTGTTATATTTACAGAAATGCAGTATTTCTTGAATATGAATCTGAAAGCGTTAAATGAAATCTTGCATCTTGTCCTTGAAGTATTTTGAGTATTTCTATGGAAGTCCCATTCCAATCATTTGCAGTCATGTGAAACTCTGTTTTTGTAATAAAGGTGGTCACTGGGGGAAAGCAGCATTTAATAAAATCTCTATGTTTGTATATATTGCCACTGTGTTCCAGTCTTGTGTGTTCCCCTGCCACCAATTATATTCAAGTCCTATTTGTTCTGTGCCATCCAATCGAAAAGCACTGCTTATTCCTGTTAGTTTCTGGTTTGGTTATTGCAATGTTTCTCATAAATCCGTTAAATAGGTCATACAGATTTGTTTTTTTATCAAACCAATATATGACAGGTTTAAATGTAAATATCAATTTTAGATCTGAATGTTAAATTGCATCTATATCTAGTCTTCAGTTACCCATACATCTTTGTGGTGGTAGCTAAGTGATGTCATCAGCCAATTAGAATAAAAGTTGCAAACGTAAGTGATTCTCTCCCCACCTCCCCACCCCCGTTTGATTCAATAGCCTTTATTTGCACGTATAGGTCGCAGAGTTGGACAGGTGGAGGATGTTGCAGTTGCCAGGTGTAACCTCATTTATTCCTGCAACATCCATACATATGACCTGCAAAGCATGGTAAAGTGGTCACTCAAATTTGTGTACATCTGTTTCCCATTACTCTATTAAAAGCAAAAAAAAAGGAGGGATCCGCACTCTCACCTGTAGACCTCGGTGCACTGCACATAGTGCTGGCAAACCCCTAATCCATCTAGTAACCGCAAAGTAGTCCAGGCACTCAAGGTTATACATCAGCAGATGTATTGAAAAAACTCGACAGATACAGCGTTTCGATCCCTTCCTTGACAGATATCAGCCCGAAGCATAAACCCACACTGCTGAACCAGCCCTGTTTCACCTGAACAGGAATCCAATTATACCCATAGTTGCTCAAGTCACCTAAACAATGAAGATCTATGGATGTAGCATACAGCCCCTATGTTTTTTGAGGGGGAGGTGTTCTATTTAAGCCACACCAAAAAAAAAACTGATCTAAGCAGGGCATGGGAGGACTGGCAAGGAGATTGCTAGCACCTAGGGTCTGTGGGTTGCAGTAGTAGATCACCATTGTTCGGTTTACTAAATAAACAGAGAAATGGATATAGATATGTAAACAATGTTTCCAACATGTTATGATGGTGCAAAGACAATGTATGAAAGGCTGGCTGAGCTACTTGGGGGAAAGTAGTCCACAACAGCTGCAGTTCCAAAGGTTAACCATCAGTGCTGTAAAGGTTTTGTGCTATTGCACACTGAACATCTTTTAATCGGCAAATGGTGCTGAAAATTGCTGCTTGTTTCAGCTCCAATAAGCAGCACAGTGTTACTCAACATTAATGCCACATTTTATAAACCCTGCTGTATAGTGCAGATTGTTTCAGTAATAATTAAATTATTTTCCTTGCCTGCAAGATTTCTTCCCCTCAGTATGGAAACAAAGCCAAACCTGGGATTGCAAGGGTTAATTGGAAATCCAGTTAGTATGTACACTTGAAAAAAAAACAAAAAAAAACTTTATTGAAAGAATTGAAAAGCCGCACCAAAAATGCTACATCTACCAGAAATACAAATGGTGCATTCTTCACTAAATCCACATTTGACACTGCTCTGCCAAAATCCAACCTTCTATAAATCAATGTTTAGTAGATATACCACTAATAAAAACATTTATGCATTTTTTTTTCATTGGGGTATATCTAAAAATAGCTTGCAAAACCTGCAGTTCTCTTGTCTGCAGCCTTTGCAAGCCCTCCCCTTCTAGCTCTGTCCGGACTTTCTGTGGCTGTCCAATCACAGACTTCCCAATGCAGCTCAATGAGAAGTCTTTGCAAGGTAAGTGTTCTGGACCATTGCTGCCTCTTGAGTTTATCTTCACTGAGCTAACCAAGCCATGAAGTAACATTACCTGTTATCTGCTAGTAAGTCAAGGGGTTGTAACCTGGTTAATGTATATAAGTGAAACAATAAAATAGATACAGTAAGAAAAGTATGTGTGATAGCTGAAACAGCCGTAAACCACCTAAGTGGAAACCCCTTATACCACTTGAAATAAAATACAATAAATACATACAATAGGTGGAACACACATCTGGCGAGTCTAAAAAAGGAAACAGAATATCATAGTATAATACAGTCAAATAGAAGTATAATGAATAGTAATAGAGCAGTGCTACTCACAAGCCCAGAGCCAATATGACATATGACTCTTATGTATAGCGCAATGGGACTATTAATCAGGTGTCCCCATCCTTCTTCTTAGGCTTTCTTGGGTGGTTTGCTGAAGGAGATAGCAGTATTCCAATGTATATTCCCAAAGGAAACTTTATTTGTAGAATAAAATAGGCTTTGGGCTTGTGAGTAGCACTGCTCTATTACTATTCATTATACTTCTATTTGACAGTATTATACTATGATATTCTGTTTCCTTTTTTAGACTCGCCAGATGTGTGTTCCACCTATTGTATGTATTTAATGTATATAAGTGTCAATTTCTATTGAAATCTGCACTTTTTGCAAAATGAAAAAAGTGGATACAGCTCCCTATAGTGTTACCCTCCCTCGCTGTCTGGTAAACAGCCACCAGAGGTGAAGTTAACCTCTGGCAAGGAATTATTGCAGTTTCTGGAAAAACTGCAATAATTACCATTGCCGGGTTAAGGGACCTCGGAAATTGCACTCAGACCACGTCATGAGCTGAAGTGGTCTGGGTGCATATAGTGTCCCATTAAATGTAATGAATATAGTGACATAATACATACGCCCTGATACAGGCCTGACACTCTCCCAAACACAAAGCTACGAGTCAGTTTAATATGTTTTCTAATGGAACAGTTATTAGAAATAATGCGTGTGTCCAAAACTACATGAGCATTCATGCAATCAGCATTTTCAACTGAATAAACGCTTAAGGCTGGTAAATGCAATAAGAAAAGGAACCTACATTAAATGAAAATCATTTATCAGCCCCCATATGTTAACGCTGAGGTTGCATGTTACTAGAGCATCATGAGGGAGTTAGATTTTAAAAAGATCAGGGTAGGCAACCTTTGGCACTCCAGATGTTGTGGACTACAACTCTGCTGATGCTTTGCCAGCAATAAGGCTGCAAGAGGATTGTGGGAGATGTAGTCCACAACATATGGCGTGGCAAAGGTTGCCTACCCCTGAAATAGATGAAAAACTATGTATCTTGTGCACACCATAGAAAAAAAATGACTATGTAGCTTGTACACAAGTTTATTTGAACAGAGGAACCATAAAAAAAGAAAAAGAACCCTTCAGAGTAGATTGCAGTTTGTTTTACATGATAGTGCCTTTTTTGTTTTCTTTCTTCACATATGACTGATTTCTGTATAATTAAAGGACCACTATAGTGCCAGGAAAACATACTCGTTTTCCTGGCACTATAGTGCCCTGAGGGTGCCCCCACCCTCAGGGTCCCCCTCCCGCCCGGCTCTGGAAGGAGGAAAGGGTTAAAAACTCACCTTTTTCCAGCGCTGGGCGGAGAGCTCTCCTCCTCCTCCTCCGTTCCGCCCGCCGGCTGAATGCGCAGCGGCAAGGAAGCGCGCATTTGCCTTTCCTTATGGAACGCTGGCGTGCTCTCCTGATTTTTCAGTGAAACGCATAGCGCCTCTAGTGGCTGTCAATGAGACAGCCACTAGAGGATTAGGGGGAAGGCTTAACCCATTCATAATTATAGCAGTTTCTCTGAAACTGCTATAATTATGAAAAAATGGGTTAACCCTAGAAGGACCTGGCACCCAGACCACTTCATTAAGCTGAAGTGGTCTGGGTGCCTAGAGTGGTCCTTTAATGACAATCACAGCTGCTTTCTATCAAAGTACGCAGAGGCTACATACATACACTATGCATGGGGACGTCCAGCGTCACCTAAAATCCCATAGGAAAGTGGTGAATAATGTTTTCCTCTTGATGAAAAAATGAATTCTTTAATGTGTACGTTTTCATTGTGATGTTTTTGTATTTGGGCAATGGAGCATCACCTTAAAGACCAATGATTGCATTCTTGTCTTTAAACATTTTGCAGCAATATGGCATGTTCTAAATATTTATTATCAGGTTGCATGTTTCATTTTAGAATAGTTTTTTTTTTTTTTTTTTTAAAGCCAATCTGAGAAATATAGGTCTGCAGTTTTCTAACCAACTGGCTTGACTCATGTTACACATTTGTTTCTTCCCTTAATACTATTAAAATATAATCTAGTGTAGTTCTATTACCCCTGTCTCCTGCTGAGAGTGTCAATCATGTTTTCAGTGCGTGTTACACTTGACAACTGCATATCCCTGTTCGGAAAGAACAGATTTGCTTCCCATAACCAGTTAAAAGTCCCTAACACTTTATATTACCTGTAGACTATGGCAGAACTAAAGTAGAGGGGGCCCTGGAGCAAGACTTAGTTTTGGGGCCTGCTTTTGCAAGGATGAAAAAAATGGTAGATCCTTGTCTGTCATAGAACTTTCGCAGTGCTTTTCTAGCTGGGAATCTACCATTTGCTCATCCTTGCAAGGTTGTACTTGGCACTGAGCAGTGTGTATTTGTGTGTAGTGTTGTGTATTTTATGTACTGTTGCTATTTGAAAGCAGTGGAATACTTGTGTGTAGTGTTTGCCTTTAAATGTAGGGGTGTATTTATTGTTAACATTTGAATGCAGGGGTGTGTGTGTAGTATTGGAGTTTGAATGCTGAGATGTATACACATAAAAACATGCAGATACAGACATACCCTGTCCAACATACAGATATACAAACACGCACAAACATTAACACACAAACACAGGTGCACACACTGATACACATGCAGATACAAAGACAGACTTGCAGATGCACAAATACATACGACACTCTTACAAAAAACAAACAAAAAAAAACTCACTGACAAAGATACAGATGCACACTGACACACACATAACACATACACTCAAAGCATATTGTATATTTTTAGCCACCCGCCTGCTTCCATAAAGTTTTGATACAGGAGGTGTCCAGTGGCATCTGGCTGAGTGTGATGAAAGTCTGGGCCAAGCTTTCCCTCCTCTGGTCCTGGCTCTCTGACCATATGACCAGGTTGCCATGAAGAACAGGACAAGGGTATGTAGGATAGGAATAGGTCCCAAAAAGCCGAATGAGCAACTCCTGAATGGACTCCTTAAACAGTGGGTCTACAGAAAAAAAGTGAGTTTCTGTTTTTTGAATATTTCTAATGCACTAGCTAGTCCTGGTTATTTGCTAAAGTGTGGATTTTCAGGAATTCAGAGTAAATTTAAAGGATCACTATAGGGCCAGGAACACAAACTTGTATTCCTGACCCTATAGTGTTAACACCACCATCTAGCCTCCCTGAGCCCCTCATGCCTCTATAAATATAGCAAAATCTTACATTATTCATGCCTGAAGCTCTGCATGCTGTTAGCCTCAGAAAAACAAGCATTCTGCTGATATCATCAGAAGTGGTAGCCTGATCCCATGGGGAAAGCATTGGATTGGCTAAAATTAAAAAGGGGGCGGAGTCAAACACTGTTTTGGCCACTCAGCACCTCCTCATAGAGATTAATTGAATCAATGCATCTCTGATGAAAATTCAGCGTTCCCATGGGCTGCTTACTGTGCAGCCCTGAGCCAGGAAGCCCCTCCAGTGGCCATCTAAGGAGTGGCCATTTGGAGGTGTCCCTAGGGGCAATGTACTACCTTTTCTCTGAAAAGGCAGTGTTTGCATAAAAATGCCTGAAGGGAGCTAAGCTGTAAGTTGTTCTGGTGACTATAGTGTCCCTTTAAGGAGCTGAATCATTAAAGCCACACCTCCCATGCCTGTGACTTACACTACCTACATGACAAATAGTTTTATTTTCAATCAATAATTCAGATGTTTTTATCTCCTGCTCTGTTAATTGAACTTTAGTCACACACAGGAGGCCCCTGTCGGACATAGCAAGCTGTTATCCGAGTAGGATAAAAGAAATTCTAAATTAAACAACCTGTGCAATAAAGGAAGTGTAAACGGTTAACTTTACAGGAAATGTGTAGGTCACATGAAGGGAGGTGTTATTAGGGCTGTAAAAACAAACTTGTAAATGGCAGAGAAATAAGCAGTTAGACGCTCAAACCACTCCATTAAGCTATAGTTGTTTTGGTGCTTATAGTGTCCCTTTACTCTCTATGGGAATGGTATGACTTAAATACAGGGGTTATTTACTAAACATTCAGAATTCAATCTGAATTTAAAATTTTAGTTCGAAGTAGTTAAACTGATAACATAACGGACTTTATTTGGAATTGACAACAATTCAAACTTTAGTAAATATCTGCATTTATTGTGTAAAATGTTTAAATTACTGACAATTCACGACAATAATGTTGGAGCAGAAAAAAAACCAACACGGTTTATGTTTGATATGTTTAACTCCATTTTAATAAAACAAACTGCTGAACAGGTTTAACACTTAAGAATACAAGATGTAGGCAGTTTTAAAGTGCTATCTGATGGGGCAAAAGAAATATCGGATAACAAACACTTTCTATAACATTCTTTTTATGACACAAATTTAATTAAAAAAAAACAAAAAACCCTACAATTTTGCCTAAACAAATGGAACTGCAGTACTAACAAAAAGAAAAAATGCACAAGCAAGGGTTTCCTTACGACCTTGAGATGATGACAGTGCGAGTTAGCAGATGTCTTCTTTTGCGCGGTTAGCACCGTTTTCCAACTCTGGTGCTTGATATGATGATGGGCTACAATATACACAATTCTCTGCCAGTCGTTAGGAAATGATGGAAAATGCAATCCAACAACCGCTTAATGGCAATGGAATTACAACTGGAAAAACACTTGTAAAATATCTGTATCACTTCCCTTTGGTATTTTATAACTTTCATACCACTATTTTGAGAATAATTGGTTGATTCTATCTAAATTAATCTCTTGTAGTTAAAGGTGCAGAACGTTAACAAGCTGGGTGTTAACTGGCCAAACATGAGTTGAATTCAAGAACTGATGCTACCGCTTGATAACTGTCCCATGGAGTGTATATCCTTCCATTACTCTATAGCCCCATGTCTAATTTCTGCTATTGTTGCCTCTTCCCCTACATAGAAGCAAGGCACCATGTTAATATGCTGTATAGGTTGTGTGGTAATTCCCTTATTCTATCCTATTGCAAATGGCAGTACATGGCTTGTTAGAAATAAGTTTAATTGGGAGAGTCGATCCATTGAAAGTAAAATCTGGACACATTTTGAGCTATGTAAATCGAGTACAACATTATTTCATTATTCAGAAATCTGCCAGTCATCTCAAGGCCAATTTTTATGTACTGAAACCTCTCCTACCTATTCAGAGGAAGCAGTGATGCTGTGAATTCTTGCTACAACTTCTCGAAAAGTCCAATAAATAATTTATCAGAGCTTTCCAGGAACCCACAGTCTGCTTTCCATGAAAAGGAAGCAAATCGGAATGTCTTTATTGTTTTTTCTAAATGAAATATTGCTTGGCCCCCATTTAACCCGTTTGTATCAGGCATGTTCATATGGTGCTGGACACACTCTGACACGAGTTAAAACTTCCTGCTGTGTTAGTGATTTCCAGTAACTTGTATTCATGCATTGTTGGGAAAGAAACCAAGAACGGAAGAGTTAATAGCTCTCATCATATATTCTCTGAGCCGGGGCAAGATGTGAATGCATCATTTCACAGATTGTAAGCTTGCTTGAGCAGGGCTTTCTTTATCTCTTGTCTCTGTTATATTCCAGATGTAAAATATCCCTACTCTATCATTTTAAAGCAACGTGGAATACGTTGGCTCTATATAAAAGATGATGATAAAGGAACATTATAAGCATTAGAAACGTGTATTCCTAACACTATAGTGCCCTGTTAAATGTATAAATCCTAAACCCCCTTGATAGACATTAAAATGAGGTTAACCCACATTTCTACTATGCTGTCCCGGTGCCCAAAAGGTAGATCCCTAGATTTTTTTAAACTACAGGTAAAGGCATGCAAAGCTTAATGGGAATTGTAGTTTTACAACATCTGAGGATCTACCTTTTAGGCATCCCTGATCTAGACTAATGATCTGAACTGGTCCAATGCTTTCCTTTAGGCTAGTGAGCATTTGCTGCAAAATGCCACGTTGTGCTGATCAGACGGGTTCTATGAGACCATCGAATTGAAATAGCTGAGTTTACTCTGCTATTTTGTAAGAAGTGCCTCTAGCAGCAGTCTGAGTGACAGACACTAGAAGCGTTTAAGCCTTGAAGTGTACTTATCTGTGTTCTGCAGAATGGCAATGTTTTATACTAGAGGGACATGGCATCCAGAACCCTTCATTAACATGAAGTGGCCTGGGTGCCTATACTGTCCCTTTAATTCACATACATTATAGGTCAGTTATAGATACATTTCCCATAATTCTCAGCCTATAGCTGGGTATTAAGCATCATGGGAAATATAGTTCACAGACCTCAGTATGGCCAAGATTAGATAAAAAAAGGTACAGAGAGGGAAATACATTTTTATGTAGTCAGATATTTATAACATTTAAGGAATCCATTAAAGTAACACATACATTGGAGTAAAATGTATTGCTGAAATAGAATTAACAATTTAATGGGGATTATGTATAAATATCTGAGTTTTAGAACACTCTGCATGATTCACCTGGTCAGATTATCCCTGGATATAGCTACATGGTATGCATATAGATGTGTAAACTGGCTCTCTGCCAAGAAAAACAATTTTTTAAATTTTCATACAATGCTAAGAATGCACGTAAGGGGAACGTAGTGCAATAAATTCATCTTGTTCGCCTATTTTTATACACCTGCAATGCAACTCCTAAACAATAATTAGACCACTTGTCACTCTTGGCTCAGCTGGGACACTGCAATATATTTCGAGGATGCAATCTTTCTATAGAAAACATTCAGATGCTAACTGTCACAATTTTGCTACATTCGGTCTCACAAAGCCTATATATATATATTACAATACATTATCGGACTCAATAAACGAAAGGTCATCGCTTTGTACAACCTTGTTTGTAGTACTACCATCTATTACCGATCTCTAACCCAAACTATTCACATTTCTTTCATTATTACTACCTACTGCCACAGGAGCAGACGGCAGCTGGCATTTGTAAAGTGATCAAGTAAACATAGATTTCTGGTGTAAAATAAATCCTCCGGATTGCCAGATTGGGAAGTGGAATTCCTTTGCTATAGATTTACTGAAGTATTACCCAGGTTAATCGCTCATGTAAGACATGACAATGTCTGTGTGCGCAGATACTGCCAGTCCCAGTCCCCCCCCCCCCTCTGATGTTGATTACTGCTTGCTGGCTTTCTGTGCACCATGGGGGTTTAGGACTGGTGTGCTATAAATACTAGCAGGATTGGGGAAATGAATATCAAAATTCAAGGCCAAATAAAAGGATAACAATTCTCCAAGCTATGGTCCCCATTTTTATTTCTTTGGCCTTAAATTTGAAATTCACTTTCAATTACCTAATTTTACTAAGCCTGTATTTAACTCAAAAATTACTAATAACTTTTTTTTCTAAGTGAACACTGCCTACATGACAAATATTTTCATTTTCAATCAATAATTCAGATGTAAGTGAACATAATACTGCGTCGAAGTGCTGTGTGTGTAGTTATCGTTTTTATACCTTTAATTTATAATTTAACATTCTAGATAAAGGATGGAGATATAACAGTACGATACATTATGGGATTTATTGAATAATCGGATTCCTTATAATCATCCTTCGTAAGAGCTGATAGTACAGGTGCCTTTGCAGTTTCACCTTGACGTTACCATCAAGTGTGAGTTTAAATCTGAAAGCAACAAATTCAGCTAAAATTGCCACGCTGTGATATCAGAGTAGGAGAATTTCACCAAATAAGCAATTTTTGCCCAAATGCTTCCATTCAGATTTATATTGAAAGTTCTGAGTGTGGTGAATAACCCTGTATGAATTAAATGGTTACTCCAAAAATGTTTTAAATAATACTTTGTTGTTTTTTAAATATTGTCCACCTTTTTATAATAAATTTCTAATACTTTTTATCAACCTATAACTACTGGAGTCTTTGCCTTATATTTATTCTATTGGAGTGGAAATGGAGGTTTAAGCCACCCATCTACATCGGGGTAGGCACCTTTGGGCGCATTATACGTCTTTATCCTGTGAGTGTATATTATTTTGGCGCACTTACATTTGCACATTACTGTGTTACACTATGTGTTATTTTTTTATGTTCCATATTTTAGATTCTGTTCAGCCGTATCCCACACATCTTTTGTTTTGTCTATATCTGCTGTATTAAGGTCGTTTTGGGTTGCGATCTTGGGAGGCTGCCTGTCTTATGTATAGATAAGTATATTTTATTCTTAAGTTACTTCACACATTACACAGTGGTGGTGGTGTTTGTTTTTTCCCTAGAAGCTAACTGTCTGTCACCTGTTAAGTGGCTAACACAGACATCATAAAGACTTGGATTTATTTACTGAAGCCAGAAATTGTGTAGAATTTACAAGGAACTGGGGAAGTAATCGCTGAATGTTATTTTTATAGCTTCTCCTTTTTTTGGTTAAAATTTGCATTTCTCTTCAATTCTCTACAACTCTCAATTGAGCAAATAATTAGCTATGTCAGTGGAGAGAATAAATATACAGAAAAACAAAACAGCAGAACACACAATTCCAGAAAGATTCTAATACAGTGGTTTTCAACAGTGTCCTGTAAGCCACCTCAAAGTGAGCCATGGACACACTAAGGTCTGTATACTGTCTAACTTCACAGCAGCAGTCAAATGGAATTTGGTTGTTCAGATTTGACGTTTTAAAACTTTTTACTATGTGAAATCGACTTTGCTATTCACAGAGATGTGGGCTGGTGTGCCCAGGAACAGCCTTAATACAGGGCTGTACCTGGGCACACCAGCCCACATCTCTGTGAGGTCAACATTAAATCCACATTTTAAATTACATTCCTACCTACAATTTTCAGTTTGTTAACTTGTCTAAACCATAAAAAATTTTTTTAAAAAGTACTTTTTACAAGCCGCTGAGGAATGTTAAAAAATAGTATTGCATGCCTTGGACATTTTTCTCTTATTTATGTGTGCCTTGATCCCAAAACTATTGGAAACAGAGGTTCTAGAGCATCCATTCATATGGCAGAAACTCAAGGTTCAGTAAATAGCTACAGTGAAAAGATGGTCTATCACATTGACCGACTTCCTGAGCGAGAGTTGGAGATGAGTCCATTAATCAAAGGCACTGCGTCTCTATTATTATATATTGTTTCACTAATTCATGGGATCGTAAGTCCACCTGACATTCAACAGGTGCGATCCTGCTATTACATGTTGCAGTTTCCCTCACAGTCTAGTGAGATTCAAGACACACTCCATGTCCAGACTGAGCTGGTACCTACCTGCCTAACCTACTGACCTATGTCTAGAATGATGTAAGAAAGGTGATTGTTATATCAGTCCTCTACAAAAAAGTTAATACATAAAAAGGTTAACAAAAATAAAAAAAAACTGCTGAGGTCAAAAACAATCCAGTTTTTTTTTTCCCCAGGAAATTTTCACATTGTTTTGCTCTCCAATCACATTCTAGATTCTAGCTATCACCTAGAAGGATGAGTTCAGGATAAAAAGTACCAAATTAGGGCATTTGCAGCTCTTCATATGGCTCTTATCCTCCTCCGAATTGTCCAGATGATCACTAAGTTATATTTAACACATTTTTCTTTACAAATTAATTATCTGTAAAAGAGAACACTGAACTGTAACTCTATGTGCACTAAACTGAACTAATAATTTCTTTTTTTATCGACTATATTCAAGTATCTGTCCGCCAACGTTTTTAACCTCCTACGTTGCAGGCACTTTTGCAGTCAAAAGGTTAAATCGAAACCACTTCGTGAAATTTAAGTGTCTCTGCTTTTTTTCATCCAGCGCTCGAGCAAGAAAGGCAGATATCCACCTCTTCAGCTCATGTGGTTCAATTCCCGAGCTCTCTTCTTCAGATGCCTTTTTCGGATTTTAATCATCCACTTAACACTGAGTTTGGCAAAGTCAGCTGCTTTAAAAAGGACCAGGAACACCCCACATAGCAAGGCTATCATGCTCCAGGGGTTGGCAGTGATTATCTGAAGACCAAAATAAAATAATAGAAAAAAAGTTGAGCCAATTAGTCTACAGGAAGCAGATGTTTCCATTTTAAGTTTAACCCCTTCAGGACATATAACTGTCAGGCCATTAACAATATCTGTCTAATCCTGGTCCTGAAAGTGTAAAAGTAGCTCTGTCCGCTGCAGCTTTACAGCACTATTAGGTATATTTATCACTAGTTTTAGAATGCAACAATTATTTCGTTTTAACGATATTTAGCGATATTTCCATACTTCCCAAGTGTCGCTATTTAGGACAGTCCCTCTTTACAAATACAAATCTCCTTTATATCTCCAATTAGGATTGCAAGTTAATTTACTAGTACAATAATCGTGGACTTGCATAATTTAGGTCAAAAAAGCTGACTTGGTATAAAAGATGTTGGATTTCTTTTTTTCTTCCATATCAGCAAATTTTTTCAGAGAAAATGCAGTGCTTACATTTGTACCTAGGAACACCTCTTAGTGGCAACGGGTGCTTCTTGGGGCAGTGCTGCACAGTGTGCAGTACTGACGTTCAGCGTCTCCACGCTCTGCATGGGGGCGCTGAACTTTCCCCATAGAGATGCCGTGTTTCAATGCATCTCTATGAGTAGATGCTGATTTGCCAGGCCGGTCTTTTGGCCTGGCCCCACCTCCTTGATGATCTCAGGCAATCCAATGCTTTTCCTATGGTAGCATTGGATTGGCTGAGATCATCAACTCTTATGACGTCAGCAAAGTTGGCGGATCGGGGGTGGGGCCTGCGCCGGCAGTCCTGGACGGTGCTGGAAATAAGGTGTTTTCTTACTTTTTAAGGAGGGCAAGGGGGGTACTCAGAAATGACAGGGACTAATGGAGACAGCCACATTGGTAGAATGTAATAGAATATTTTTAAATACTTACATCTTGAATTTCCTGGATATACGGATCTTTCCATTCAAACACCACAAAAAATAACTGGTCCCCCTTTTCTGTACTGGACCTTCGATCGATGTAATTTACAACACTAGTCTGAAAGAATATTACATGAAATGCAGTCTTTTAAAAGGAAGGTACACTTACAGACATGTTTTAGACATAATGCATCACTGTACTGCAGGGTGGATATTGTGTGATACTTTGGACTATGACTCTTATCATTCCAGCTGCCTCATGACACGTTAGTGGCATTTGTTAAGTTTATTTCATATAACTTTATTTTAAAAATAACAGTTCAACATAACCTTGCAGTTTGATGGTCTCTATATTTTCTGTGTCTTTTCTAGCGAAGGCAAGTGTTACTGCACGTAAATCCTGAAGAAAAGCCGTAGATGGAGATATCTTGACACTACTCTTTATTAGGAGGCCCACACACTGCGGATGAAATATCACTAATTCAAGATATTTGCATTCCTCTTTCTGCGTCGGTCATATTTTATTCTCTACGATACACTTCCAAATGTCACAATCTCACAGACAAATAATAGCATCGCTATATATCCACTTCTCACATTTATATCTGCCCCAGGTAACCCCCTATATTGCAACCTGAATCCCCTCACAAGAACCAGTGGTGGGAGATAATATAAATATACTGTAAATGTTTTTTTTTTGTCCATGGGCTTTAGCTCAGAACAAAGGGGGTCGAGATGGGGGGAGGAGATATGTAATATTGATAATTCACAAAAAGTACAAAAGACTCATGATAATATTAAATGTATGCTTATTAATGCAAAGAGCCTACATAACAAAATGGGGGAACTAGAGGCAATAGCATACACTAAACAATATGATATAATAGGCATAACAGAAACATGGTGGGATGAGACACATGACTGGGCAGTTAATTGAAATGGGTACACGTTATTTAGGAAGGATAGGAGAAACAAGAAGGGTGGTGGGGTATGTTTATATGTCAACCATGAGTTAAAGTCAAATCTTAAGCATGTGGAGTGTGACGAGGAAAATGTGGAGGCTTTACGGGTAGATATCTGCTTGGGGCAAGCAAATGGAAATCAATTATTGGTTGGGATTTGTTATAAACCACCAAATGTAAATATTATTGAGGAAGCTGCAAATCGAGGTAACACGTTAATTATTGTAGATTTTAATTAACCGGACATAAATTGGAATAGAGGGACTAGTACTTCAGCAAGGGGAATCAGGTTTTTGAATGTGTTAAATGACACCTTTATGTCACAACTGGTACAAGCACCAACTAGAAAGGATGCTTGTCTGGATCTCGTTATAACAAACAATGTTGATCTTTTAACCAACATTCAAGAAGGGGGGCATTTGGGAAATAGTGATCACAATATGGTAACTTTTGAAATAAACTCAAAAAAGCAAAAGCAAGTGGGGTATACTAAAACATATAATTTTTAAAAAGCCAATTTCAATAAGATTAGGGCAGCTCTACAACATATCAACTGGCATAAACTCCTTAGTGATAAAAACACTGAGGATAAATGGAAGCTATTCAAACAAATATTAGAAAGGTACATTTCTCAGTATGTACCATTGGGTAATAAATATAAAAGAAACAAATTAAAACCAATGTGGCTTAGTAGAGAAGTAAAACAAGAGATTAAAAATAGGAAAAGGGCATTTAAATCAGACAAATCAGAGGCATCCTATTTAACATATAAGGAAGCCAATAACGCTTGCAAAAAGGCAATTAAAGTGGCTAAACTAGAAAATGAGAAATAGCCAAAGAATGCAAAATCAACCACATTTTTTTTTCAAGTACATCAATTCTAAAAAAACAAAAAATGAAAGTGTAGGTACACTGGAAACAGAGTTGGATTTATTAGCTAATGAAGACCAGGAAAAAGCAGACATTTTAAATAACTATTTTTCTTCAGTATATATTAATGTGGGTCCTATGGCAAGAGATATGCAAATGATTGCTGCAAAAAACTTGCAAATAACTTGTGATTGGATAACTCGAGACAAGGTGCTACAGCTATTAAAGAAAATTAATGTAAATAAAGCTCCGGGGCCTGACGGTATTCACCCACGAGTACTTAAGGAGCTAAGTGGGGAAATAAGTGAACCTCAGTATTTAATTTTTCAAGATTCTATTGTTTCAGGTATTGTACCGGAGGATTGGAGGAAGGCAGATGTTGTTCCTATATTTAAAAAGGGTTCAAAATCCTTCCCTGGAAATTATAGACCTGTGAGCTTAACTTCTGTAACTGGGAAAATATTTGAAGGGCTATTAAGGGATAATATTCAGGAATTCATTGGAATGAACTTTGTTATTAGCAATAATCAGCATGGTTTTATGAAACATAGGTCATGTCAAACTAACGTAATTGCATTCTACGAAGAAGTAAGTAGAAGTATAGATCAGGGTGTTGCAGTGGATGTGATCTACTTAGAGTTTGCCAAGGCATTTGATACGGTTCCTCACAATAGGTTAGTCTTCAAACTAAAAGAAATTAGTCTAGATGAATATTCTTGTTCTTGGGTAGAACATTGGCTTAAGGATAGAGTACAATGAGTTGTCATTAATGGTACATTTTCAGGCTGGACAAAAGTGGTAAGTGATGTCCCTCAGGGTTCTGTTTTGGGACCACTTCTATTTAACATATTTATAAATGATCTTGAAATAGACATTGAAAGCCATGTATCAGTGTTTGCAGATGACACAAAACTTTGTAAAGTAGTAACATGTGAGCAGGATATTGCTTTGCTGCAGAGGGATTTGGATAGATTGGGGGACTGGGCACTAAAATGGCAGATGAAATTTAACGTAGAGAAATGCAACGTTATGCACTTCGGGGTTAAGAATACACAAGCAATTTACACCCTAAATGGTAGTGAACTAGGGATAACCACACACAAGAAGGATTTGGGAATTGTTATAGACAACAAATTAGGCAGCAGTATGCAATGTCAATCTGCAGTTGCTAAGGCCAGTAAGGTTTTGTCATGTATAAATAGGGGCATAAATACTCGGGATGAAAATATAATTTTGCTTCTTTATAAATCGCAGGTCAGACCACACCTTGAATATGCTGTGCAATTTTGGGCGCCTGTTCTAAAGAAAGATATCATGGCACTAGAAAAAGTCCAGAGACAAGCTACAAAATTGATAAAAGGAATGGAGCATTTTAGTTATGAAGAAAGGTTAAAAAAATTAAATCTGTTTAGTTTGGAAAAATGGTGCCTGAGAGGGGATATGATAACATTATACAAATATATTCGGGGCCAGTACAAACCATTATCTGGAAATCTATTCATAAACAGGGCTATACATCGGACACGAGGTCACACATTTAGGCTGGAAGAAAGGAGATTTCATCTAAGGCAAAGAAAAGTTTTTTTTTTACAGTAATAGCAATAAGGATATATAATTCTCTGCCTGGAGAGGTGGTTTTGTCAGAGTCATTACAGATGTTTAAATTGCAATTGGATAAATACTTGCAAAAACATAACATACAGAGATATAATAATTTCTAATTAGTGACGTAATAGCTGCTTGATCCAAGGAGACATCTGACTGCTATTTTGGGGTCAAGAAGGAATTTTTTCCTAGTTTGTGGCAAAATTGGAAGCGCTTCAGACTGGGTTTTTTGCCTTCTTTTGGATCAACAGCAAAAACATATTTGAGGAAGGCTGAACTTGATGGACGCAAGTCTCTTTTCAGCTACGTAACTTTAACTATGAATACAAATAAATATATATATATATATATATATATATATAAACAAAGTCCGCTTGGCACTCTCCTGGCAACCACTCGTTAAGTAGATATCGCCTTGGTGCTACCCACGTTTCTCATATATCCAAATGTTATAACGGGGGCACTCACAGGACTTGCAAATTTCAATGGTGATTTTTTTTCTCAAAAAATAAACAATTACATCTGTAAACCAACCGACGTTTCGACCCCTAAAGGCCTTTTTCAAGATCACAGTGTAATGCAATAAACCATCACTATATAGGTAAAAAGGTGTAAGAAACTCACCAGTAACGATCAACGTGGGTTTTTGGCACCTTGGCCGTATTAATTTATATTACCTAATTATGAGACGGGCTGCTAATCAGATTGTAAATTTAGGGGTGTTCAACCGTGACTTTCCAGAAGCTGCTGGTATATATCGCCCAATGATTTGCTGGGAGTGTAGTCCAACACCATCTGGACAGCCAGGTTTCCGTTCCCCTAATAAAGTTCATATGAGAATAAAGACAGAAGGGAGATCGTCATGGTAACACAATTCTTACTTCTTGACGGAATTCCACAGATTCACTTCCATCCTCCTCTGTTGTTTTAACCAGAGACATTTTCACCCAGGTCCGAAAGCCTCCTGAGAATTTCCAACTGGAGAACGAGCTCTCACAGTCCTGCATGAACTTTGTCTTATTTGGGCTGCGTGAAGAAAAAAAAAGCTGGCTTTACACTTACAAAAGAAATACATTTTACAAGTATCATTTAAAGGCAATGCAGCATAAGATTGAAAATGGTGTTCCTACAATTGCTCAATGCTGTATCTAATGAAGCGTAGCATACAGCTGTGTTTTACTCATTCTAGATTCATCCTGGTGCATTGTGGGAGCACTCACCACAATGCTAAGGGCAGAGAAAAAATCTCAAGTAAATCTAATATTTGATCTAATCTTCTGCCATTTTTCAGATTGATTGTAAGCTTCCGTTTTAAAAATAAGATATCAGATACATACATAAATGGTGTGTCTATTTTTTAAAAAAAATTTTTACAATCACAATGTTAACATGACTTTTGTTTCTTAGTCCTAGTGGAGTACTTTCATCACAAATCAATCTTACAAATGATAATTAATGTCCTGTCTGATATATAAAGAAACTGATTATTTAGAATTTGTTCCTTATTCCACACACTGCAGTAAATGCTACTGAAGTGTTCACGAGGTGAGCTGTGCAACAAATTTTAGGATGAAATACCACTCTACTGCACTACATACTCCCATGATGAGAGCATCTGTGCCCATCAGACATCACTTTGACATGTTTTATCCCGTGATAAAATAAAATACAACTAACTGATACAGACATTGGCTATTATACCATTGTACCCAAAATGACAGTTCCTCTTTAAACCTGAAAATACTAAATATATTGCTAAACACTGAAAATCCGGTTGTGAACACTTTATTCAAGTTCTGTTTTGCGCGTATCTGACACAGAAACCTGAGACGTGGCAAGTCTTTGTAGCACTGCCTAATTGATTATTAAATACAGCGTATAATTAAAAGAACAGTATGGCTCCCTCTTGATCAATACAGATACATTTACACCGTCAGTAACTGATCCATTTACATTCTACTAATCAATTAACACAACAGAGACACCTTTGCTACCTCACTGTAACATGTAGTTGTGATTCATGTCGCTTAGTAAAAGTATTGATTTAAAGCTAGGATATTTCAGTTTCTGTGCTTGGTAGTTATCTCCAATTTCTCAGCTCCCCATGCAATGTACTGAAAGCAGATAACAAGTACAGCATCAGGTAAGGGTCTACGTGACCATCCACATTCTGGATCACTGTTTGACCGGAGATAAGAAGACAAGAAAGACTCTGCACCCCCTGCTAAAGTTTAAAGGGAAACAGACATGATATGATATGTAAGAATCCAATGCTTGTGTTATCTATAAATACTGTGGTTGCCAGACAACTAGTATTATTTATGGTCTAGATCTGGGCATACAGATGTAGGAGAAGCTATATTCTGTGAACTTCATATTATGCATCAGATTTACCCGGTTAGAAGAGTCTTAAGAAGTACTCACCTTTTCAAGAAGTTCTGGTAAGAGGAAAACAGCAGGTAATCAATGGCGCTGAAGTCTTGCTTGGTTTCATTTAAGTGAAACTGGAGGAAAACCAACTCCCTCTTCCTCACATCACGAGGACCTTGTACAATTAAGGCGTTTTTCTAGGCGACACAAACAATAAATGCTAAACAGACTCGGACGCTCCCCATTCCATCATTTTATTGTTTTCATGCAGAAAAACACAGATCATTACGCCGGAACCAAAGCAGGAGCAATATTAGTGAGGCTGTATTAGTGATTGAGGATAATCCTGAATTATTATCAATATTAGAATATTCACAGCACCATAATATTACATAGAACTTCACAATTTTACATTGGGGATATATAACTGCATGAAAATAAAAAATATATATATATATAATAAGAGTATTAACAGAAACAAGAGGCGGGCCTGTAGAGAGGCCAGAGCAAAACAATAGACAAAATATATCATTATATTAAAATGTTCATACTCTATGGTAACACTTTGTATTTCTTAAACTTAATAAAAATGATACATACAAACTAAATGAAATACTTCAATTGTAAACTCTAATGTTTCTCTATATCTCTAATAATATTCCCTGCATTCTTACTGCAGCTCCTCTTACAACTTCCATATTACCAATATTATTATTTCTGTATCATTGCTCCTATTGTAAAGCTTACAGGGCCTGACATATCTAACATATTGTACCTAACATATCATACCCCTTCTTATAATGTCTGCATAGATATCATACCTCCTGCTATAATATCTGCATGCTTACTGAACTTTCTACTAGAATGTCTGCATGCCTATTAAACCTCCTATTAGAATGTCTAGTCCCAAGTTGTCAACCCGCGATCATTACATCCCCCCCACACCAATCATTTCAGGAACGAATCCTTGAGTTAATTATCAGGCACTGGGGAGACCTGATAACTGTGTTTTAGTCACAGTGTTAGTACACTGCCACCTGCTGGATATATACATAAATATGTGAAAATGACTAATAAAATACAGTAAATGGGGAGCAGGGCCTGACTACACACCAAGCCAGACGTCATATTGTGAGGCGCTGAATTGACATCACAACATCCACCAAAACTCCACTTACCTCTGTCCAGTCTGTCGTTTTAACACTGTATGCTATTTCGGGGTGTCTTGGCTGCCACGTTTGGCCACACAGAACTGCAATACTGCCCATAAGCATAGTATTCGAAGGAAAACCCTCGGCCTCCCTTGCAGGGACAATGAGTGACAAAAGGGCCTCCCACTTATTTGAGCCCCCTGACTGACTGCCGCTAGAGCCTAACTGGGAGTTCAGCAGGTTGCTGATGATATACTTAGCTCTCCTGACCAGTAACGTAAGTGTTAGTGCATGTGAGAGTCTTTCTAACCATGGTTTGGTTGGTGAAAGGGTCTATGTAGTTAATTTTCTGAGTAACACATTTATTCTCTCCGGGAAGGCCTGGATTTTCCAGAGGCGGGATGTGGTCATAGAGATGGTGCTTGCAGCTCAGAAGTTGGGCATTTCCTGGATAGAGGGCAATACCTAAAACAGGAATAAACAAAGCACATTAGACCCAACATCCACCGATATAACATATGTAGGAAATAGGCAAATCTAGGGATGATAAGCGCTAGTTAATAAAACGATAGATTACCTACAGAAGCAATCACTGAGGAAGGGAACGCTCTAAGTTACCCTTCAGATAAACAACAAAAAAGCAAGTAAAAGACACAAGGTGCACCTAATGTCTAGCGTTAGAGTGGGAAATTATGAAAAAAAAGCCCAATGGTTTTGCTGCTTGTGGTACGTGGATTTTTCGTTGGTAAATGTGAAGACTGATAGAAAAGAACCCATGCTGCAGTATATTTAAAGTATTGGGAGGACCCACAACAAAAATGTGTGAATTTTCCTACACATGTAATGGAGTTTATAGCCAGCGCCGGCTAAAATAGCGTGCTGTGGTACAATCCCCACTTATGGATATGTCATTCAAATGTGAGCTATTAAATCCGGAGCTGGTTATAAGCTCCATAGCATGTGATGGAAAATTCACACATTTTAGTTGTGCATCCTCCTAATACTTTAAATATACTGCAGCATTGGTTCTATCCTATCTGTCTCTCCACATGTAACTTTCGAAACATCCATGCACCGCAAGAAGCAAAACCATCAGAATTTTCCACTAGACATTAGGCGCATCAGGTTGCTTTTACCTGCTTTTTTTTTTAATCATATTTGTGTTTATTGTTTTTGTCACGAGAAACAGGGGAACAGAAGGAAAAGGGAGAAGGGATAGGGGTTCCACAATAAAATATACATACATTGGTTATACATTAATCATACACATTGCATGATAGATTGCGTAATCACAGCTTTCTCTCGGGGCAGTATGCGTTACAGTCCTGTTTGACGCCTACATTTCTTATTCGGTTGTGCATATCAGTGCATGTCTACAGATAGTACTGTTATACAATATACATTACATCGTATACATTACATTGTATGTGCAGGGTCGCCTCCTAGGGTTATTGCCATATAGTAACTATGTTCTGGTGCCTACATATGTTTGACTCTTAACATGTTTATTGCTTGGACCACATTGGTCAACGTGTGTGGAGTATGGGGGAACTCAGGGTAGGGAGTGAACTCAACTTAACAGAAACTTGTACTGGAACTTGAGCTTGATCTCGAGCTAGGACCATTGAGAAATGCTTAGGGAACTACAGTGGCTATGCTCTCCTCGGTTTTGTATCGTTATTTTTATTATTGCTGGCTTTTACCTGCTTTTTAATATAACATATGTTACCTTATGTGGGGTTGTAATAATGTGAGTTACTACATTTGTTGGTGAACTGTGACCTGTGTGATGCCAGATGTCGGATGATAATGATAACATACATTTAATGTATGTTCTACAAAGTGGTCCATCTGTCATCTGCCTGTGGAGTACAGCGTTCAGTTTTATCATTCATAATTCACACGACCTGAATGCAACACCTGTGTGGTCTCTCTCTGCTCTGTGATGGACCTCTCATTCAATGTTCTCTCCTCAAAAAATTACTACCAGCTCAATCTTTTTCCTCTGAGCTCTGCTCATTCATTATACTTTGCACCCTGTACAAGATATTTATTTATTCTTCCATATACTTCTTTATCCACTGTTTTCATCATATTTCTGAAACATATTTTTGTTTAGATTGTTGAGAGGTGTAAATTTACTTTTATTATTTGAGGTCTCTTGGTGGCTCAGCAGAGCTAGTCTTCACCTCCTACGACATAAACCCGTCTCCGTCTTTTATTCCTCTCACCCTCTTTTTCATCTAGCTCTTCTTTAAGGTAATTATCATGTGACTTTTAAATTGTAAGTTAATAGTTATTTAGCGAATTTGTATCTTTGCACAAAATCTCAATAAATAGAATTTACCAATTACAAAAAGAAAGAAAGAAGGAAAAAAAAAAACATATAAATAATTCAGAGCAGTTCCTATGCCAAATAAGTTTCATTTACATAATGTGACAGCGGGAGGCAATGGACAGATAAAGTGTCACTTCCCGATCAGGTTTACCTACTTAGCTCAGCGTGAAAATACACTTACGGCTGCTGGTGAAAGGTGAAGTAAAAATTATAAGAGCCATTCTGCATGGCAAAATAAAGCGCATACTGTATATGTTGGATAAGAAAATGAGGTTTGTATGATTTTTTTACCACAACATCTAAAATAAGGAACAGAAACCACAGATTTATTGAGCTTATTTCATTTATTCAAATCAAAACTGATGGGGTTATTTGCAAAAGTGAGAATTCAAAGTGAATTTCGAATTTAAGTTCGGAGTAGCTGAACTGAACGCACAGCTCAACATGACTTAAAACATGTTTCCAGTTGGACTATTTTGACCTTGAATGTATAATTCACATTGAATTCTCACTTTAGTAAATAAGCCTTTAAAGGTCCTCGTTTGGAAATAGAATAACACCATGAGACGCTCAATACAGACCATAATGCTGGAATTTGTGTACCGTAAATGTATATTACCATTGCACTTTTTTGGTGGCTCTTTCCATTTTGGATAAAAGTGCAAAGGACATTGACATAAACTTAAAGGAACACTTTAGTGTCAGGAATACAAACATGTATTCCTGACACTATAGTGCCTGTGCGGCTGTTTAGGTACCAGGCCCCCTTTGTCAGAGCAGTGAAAAGATGATTCACTCATCTTTTCTCCCATGCTGCGCCGGTCTCAATGTGGCCCTGCCCCTGCCTCTGCCTCCGTGACTCAGATCATGGCTATAGTGTCCATTTAAATGTACAAACCAATAGCATTTTAATCATGCAACTGTGCGCCTCAATCTTAGCTCCCTGTTAATCATTATTAATCATCAATATTATAAACTCTGCTCTTTGCATCTGGCTGTCAGAATACAGAGAGCATAGAATGAAGAAATTAAATTAAACAATGTTTCTATTTATCCTCTTCATTTGCAATTTGTGCCTTGACTTTGCCTCGTCTGATGTAATTTGTTAAATCTGTAATTAAAAAAAAAACAGAGCAATTCATGAAAATGGTGAACACAAGTTATAGGTGATTTTCAAAGTTTGATTCAACAATGTTGAGAAGTGACATTCCCCTATGACGTGTAAAGGTGTTTGAAAACACATCGTCACCTGGCGCATCGTACACATCGACCTCCTTGTAGGACACGGACATAACGGGATGTTTCAGTTTCTCCCTGAAGTCAGTAATGGTTTGGTAGACGATGAATACAGCCACTCCCATTAACATCAAATAGACGAAAATTAACAGCACAGAGAAAACATTCTTCAGGCACGTCCTGCTAAAACGGATTGGTGGGCTGTTCCTATCCGTCTCCGAGTCTGTAATGAAAAGAGAAATGATCAAATCACAGGGTGTTCACAGTACCCACGCTGGGGCATTATCTCTCCTTGCTTTTCCATCACGTGCCTAGATATTTTCAATTATTATTATATTATAGAAAGGGGATAACTGACAATCCGTAGCTGACATACAAACTATTAACAGAGACAAGAGGCCAATTAACTGATTGACTTTCCAATCCAATAACAGAATTAGTACTAAACACGATGCTTAACGGAGAGATGTAAACCTGCATCTGAGGTGTGTTTGGGAATACAGTAACTATTATTGTCTGACGAGTGGCAAAACATTATGGGACATGTAGTTGAACTAACAATAGAGGGGTGCAGTTCAACATTCCTGATTTAAAGCCAATAGTACGTAATCCTAAATGGTAGATGTCTTCCATGGTCCTTTTTTTTTTTAATTACATTTGTACTACATAGCATCTATCTCCCAGAACACACAATTGCAGAGCATCTTAAAGGGACACTATAGCCACCAGAACAACTACAGAACAACTACATACTTCCAAATCACACACAGAAGAGAAAATAGCACAGTCAGTAAAAAAGGGGGATAAAACATTTTTTAGATACATAAATGAGAAAAGAAAAGTAAAACAAGGATTAGTTAGATTAAAAACAAAAGAAGGGGGAGCTCCGAGCTACCGCACGGCAATCCAGCCACATCGGGGGCATCCCGCACTAATCCCGGCCACATAATCAGCCACAGCCCGCAGGGACCCTCGCTGAAACCGCCGATGCCGTTTCTCCTGACGCCCGGCTCGAAAAATAGACGCCGAGGCGGCAAGGCCTACCGGGCAGGGAGGCAACCTCAACCCAGCACGGGAGAACACTGGCCCTGGAGTGTCCCAGAATTTGAGGACTGGTACCCCAGCACACACAGCTCAGGTGAGATGGGGCGCAGAACACAGAAACTGCCCCAAAACGCCCCAAAACCGCAGCGCGACATAGGCCAAATGTTACAGGCCCCAAGCGCAGTAAAGGCACAGACCCCCCGTGAAACCTCCCCAGCACCATCAGAGGAGGAAGAATCACTAGACAGCCCACACCTCAATCCCCAACACCCCACACACGCGTGGATGCCAGAAGCCAGCGCACCGGCCTCCAAACAAGACATACAGGCTATGCTGACAGGCCTGCAGCAGAACTTAAGACAAATGTGGGAAGCGGACTTGGCAGTGCTTAAACTAGACGTGCACGCCGTGTCCACGCGCACTCAAGCGGTAGAAGAGGAGGTAAAGGGACTAAGAGGGAACTACCAGGAATTGGGAGAGACGGTGCGACACCTTCAAGCTGCACAAGCAACAATGTCCAGGCAAGTTACTCTCCTAGATGATAGGGGGCGTCGAAAGAACATAAAAATCCGAGGGGTACCTGAATCGATACCGCTGGAAGAGTTGCCACATTTCATCAGACGCCTTGTGGCCACACTCCTGCCAACTAGACAATCTAAAACGTTCCAGTTCGACGGGGTTTACAGGATAGCCAAATCCCCACAAGCACCCAACTCAGCCCCAAGGGACATAATCTTGAGATGCCAATCAATGATGGACAAACTGGGGCTAATGGCGGCTATGCAAGGGAAAACACCTCTTGACTTTGAAGACAGCAAACTCTCCTTCTTTCAGGACTTGAGCAGGGCCACACTGATGTGGCGCAAAAGTATGCAACCTATCACCAAACAACTCCAAGCCGCAGGAATAGCCTATAGATGGGCAACACCAGGAACTCTCTGGGTCACTAAAGATGACAAGCACTACAGAGCTACCGACCACGCAGAGGGCCCGGCACTGATGACCGCATTGGGAATATCGAACCTCGCAGCGACCTCTATGACACAGCCGGCTCAACGACCAGGGACAACGAGCACAGATTCATCCGCAACTCCTGGAATAAGCAGAGGACCGAAAACCAAAACCTGAACGAACTGCCTCACCGACTGCCTCATAGGCCTTAGTTTCACTAGTTTAAATATTTTAAGTTGATAAATTGGTTCATTTAAGTTAAATGTAGTTCTCTCACACTCTGACGACTATAACAGTGCTAAAGCGGCCCACCAGAGCCGCGCACACTAGCTCCGATAACGATCCCCCCCCCCCTCCCTTGGGTTAATGGGAAACGACATCAAAGGCGACATAGTAATCCTGACTGGAATCAGGCTTATCGTGAGGTCTGATGCCCCAAGGGCACAACTTAATCCGGTCACACTACAGCGACCTATGTATATACATAGACATGATTTGTAGTTACCACTAGGGCCACAAAGACACCCTGAGCACCACACACATGGGCACCTACAAATAGCTATGACCAGGGAAAAGTAAAAGAGGAGCAGACATAGTCCTAGATAGGCACCATTAGAGGGACCCCATAACTACCGCAATCCGCATCCTTACCCAAACTCAAAAGGGTCAAGAGACTTACCCAACACCCATAACTATAGCCGCACGACCTAGAATAGGGACCAGCCACTGGACCTAGCAATAAATGCCTCTCCCCCCCCCACCTACGACTCCACAGACCTTAGGGTGTATTAGGCAGACAGAAGTCTTCCACCCCTACAGTTATTAGATTTTAAAACCTCACTGTAACAATGTGACCTATTGTAAATATAAAATGTGTGTGAATAGCACACAACAATGCCTTGTATTTGATATGTACTGATTCTAATCGATGTATCGAGGCTGTTGTGGCCAACTTCCTGAATATGTTATCTTTCCACATGAAAAATAAAGATTTAAAAAAAACAAAAAAAAAACAAAAGAAGGAAGGTATGTAGAAGAGGATAAAGGTCAGGCTGACTGCCTCAATGAATATTTTTGTTCTGTATTTACAGAAGAAAATGAAGGAAAGGGACCTCAGTTGAGAAAAAGGATAAATGAGTCATTTATTACACGTGAGTTTACAGAGGAAGAGGTTCTATTTCAACTGTCAAAAGTAAAGACAAATAAGTCAATGGGACCTGATGGAATACACCCAAAGCTATTAAAAGAGCTTAGTGGTGTACTAGCAAAACCATTAACAGATTTATTTAACCAATCATTGTTAACAGGAGTAGTCCCAGAAGATTGGAAGTTAGCGAATGTTGTGCCCATTTACAAGAAAGGTAATAGGGAGGAGTCGGGCAACTATAGGCCAGTAAGCCTTACTTCAGTAGTGGGGAAAGTGATGGAAACCATGTTAAAGGATAGGATTGATGAACATCTAAAAACACATGGATTTCAAGATCAGAGACAACATGGGTTTACTTCAGGGAGATCATGCCAAACTAATCTTATTGATTTTTTTGATTGGGTAACTAAAATTATAGATCAGGGTGGTACAGTAGACATTGCTTACCTAGATTTCAGTAAGGCTTTTGACACTGTTGCACATAGAAGGCTTATCAATAAACTGCAATGTTTAAGTTTGGATTCCAATATTGTTGAATGGGTAAGGCAGTGGCTGAGTGACAGGCAACAGAGGGTTGTAGTTAATGGAATATATTCGAAGCTTGGACTTGTCACCAGTGGGGTACCTCAGGGATCTGTACTTGGACCCATTCTCTTTAATATTTTTATTAGTGATATTGCAGAAGGTCTTGATGGTAAGGTATGTCTTTTTGCTGATGATACTAAGATATGTAACAGGGTTGATGTTCCAGGAGGGATAAGCCAAATGACAAATGATTTAGGTAAACTAGAAAAATGGTCAGAATTGTGGCAACTGACATTTAATGTGGATAAGTGCAAGATAATGCATCTTGGACGTAAAAACCCAAGGGCAGAGTACAGAATATTTGATAGAGTCCTAACCTCAACATATGAGGAAAGGGATTTAGGGGTGATTATTTCTGATGACTTAAAGGTAGGCAGACAATGTAATAGAGCAGCAGGAAATGCTAGCAGAATGCTTGGTTGTATAGGGAGAGGTATTAGCAGTAGAAAGAGGGAAGTGCTCATGCCATTATACAGAACACTGGTGAGACCTCACTTGGAGTATTGTACACAGTACTGGAGACCGTATCTTCAGAAGGATATTGATACCTTAGAGAGGGTTCAGAGCAGGGCTACTAAACTGGTTCATGGATTGCGGGATAAAACTTACCAGGAAAGGTTAAAGGATCTTAACATGTATAGCTTGGAGGAAAGACGAGACAGGGGGGATATGATAGAAACATTTAAATATATAAAAGGGAATCAACACAGTAAAGGAGGAGACTATATTTAAAAGAAGAAAAACTACCACAACAAGAGGAAATAGTCTTAAATTAGAGGGACAAAGGTTTAAAAATAATATCAGGAAGTATTACTTTACTGAGAGGGTAGTGGATGCATGGAATAGCCTTCCAGCTGAAGTGGTAGAGGTTAACACAGTAAAGGAGTTTAAACATGCGTGGGATAGGCATAAGGCTATCCTAACTATAAGATAAGGCTAGGGACTAATGAAAGTATTTAGAAAATTGGGCAGACTAGATGGGCCGAATGGTTCTTATCTGCAGTCACATTCTATGTTTCTATGTATTTGTTCTGGTGTGTAGAATCATTGCCTTCTGGAATTTTCATACAAACACTGCCTTTTCAGAGTAAATGCAGTATTTACATTGCCCCTAGGGACACCTCCAAGTGGCAGCCACTCAGATGGCCACTGGAGGTGCTTCCTGGCTCAGAGCTGCACAGTAGGCAGCACTGCCGTTCAGAGTCTCCACGCTCTGCATGGGGACGCTGAATTTTCCTCATAGAGATGCATTGATTTAATGAATCTCTATGAGGAGGTGCTGATTGGCCTAAATGGTGTTTGGCCCCACCCCCTTGCCCATTTTAGCCAATTCAATGCTTTCTCTAGATTGGCTAAAAAGCGACAATTGTGATGATGTCACCAATGGGGGGGAGGGGCCAGTGCCGGCGGACCACCGCTGGAAATAAAGTGAGTTTTCATTGCTTTTAAGGGGGCTAAATGGTGGGTTTAGCACTATAGGGTCAGGAATACATTGTTGTGTTCCTGACCCTATAGTGCTCTTTTAAAGAGACACTATAGTCACCAGAACAACTGCAGATTAATGTAGTTGTTCTGGTGAGTATAATAGCTCCCTTCAGGCATTTTCATGTTAACACTGCCTTTTCAGAGAAAAGGCAGTGTTTACATTGCCCCTAGGGACATCTCCAAGTGGCCACTCCTTAGATGGCCACTGGAGGGGCCTCCTGGCTCAGGCCTGCACAGGAGACGCTGAATTTTCCTCATAGAGATGCATTGATTTAATGAATCTCTATGAGGAGGTCCTGATTGGCCAAAATGGCATTTGGCCCCGCCCCATGCCAATTTTGTCCTATGGCAAAGCATTGGATTGGCTAAAAATAGGCCATTTTGATGAGGTCACAAAGGGGGCGGAACCGCGGCGCTGGAAATAAGGTGAGTTTTATACTTTTGTAAGGGGGCAAGCCACCAATATGGTTGGTTTAACTCTATAGGGTCAGGAATACATGTTTGTGTTCCTGACCCTAAAGTGATCCTTTAAGTTAATTCTGCACTATAGCGAGCATGATAAGCTGACAAATGAGTAAAGTACACATTGTAGACTTATCACATTTACTGCAATCGCAATATGGATTTTTTTTTTTGACTTTAGGAAAATGTTTGGCATTTAATCCCCCTACTCCAAACTTGTAGTCTAACCCCACCTTAGAAGGGCATTCTCAGAACCATAATGTAAGGTAACCTGTGACATGCTGCCGCACTTTTCCATATCTGCGTAATTCTAGCATCAAAATTTACACTTGTCTTACTCTACTCCTGTGTTCTCTTATAGTTCAGATACTCCTCTATCCCTGGAGCTCATTGCCCCATTGTGGCTCCCTGGTATTTCCAATATCATATTCCTTTTAGTAGTGAATTATTCTGCTTTTTGACATGACTTAGGCCTGACTCTCCTGGTCTCTGTAACCCTGACCCAGCATGTCTCCCGATCTTTCTGAATTCTGGTATCTCTCAACTGTGGCCTGTCTTTGACTATTCTCTCATAATACACCTTTATTCTTTTATATGTGTGGGTTCAAGTACTGTGTGCTGAGGTATACTGTGCTGTGACACATAACCATTACAGGGCACTGTAGTGATTATGGTGCCTGGAGTCCATGGTAAGTAATCATGACATAAGCTGGTAAGTAGTCAAACCTTTAGCACAGTTTGACACTTATTTGGGTGCTGCAGTCTAGTCTTCTCTTTAGATATCATTGAAGCAGAAGTTGACCAAATAAGGGGCAGAAACATTGATCTCGTTAAGTTATTGTGAACCACATTTGAATACACTTGTTTCCATGTTAAAGACCAGTAAGTGCGTCTATGTTTTCTTTGGCCATAGGCTATTGGGATAAAGGTAAACTACAGGACCTGGGGTCCAGGAAAATCCTGGTGGGAGCATACCTGGCAGGACAGATGATTCTGCATCCTCCTGGTCCACGTCCTCTTCGTCCATATCCTCCGTTATAGCTGGCTCTCCCAGACCTGCATCTGTTTCTTCACTTAACTGTAGAAAACATTGTATATAAATGCTGCTGCCTTGTGTTTAAATGCTTCTCTAATTTTTGTTTTATATTAAATTTGACTGTTTGGAGTCATGTTTTATTGTCTAATTCCTTTCTACTTCTTCATAAGATGTTTAGTGTTATTATACTACAATATACATTGAGGCATGTGCACTTCTGAAGCAGTTAAAGCACTAAGTGCAGTAAACTGGACAACTTACTAATTACAACATTGCTTCCAGTTTACAATATTTAGGAGGTTTAGTTAAAGGAACACAAAGTAATATTGTAGCAGCTGTGGAACGCAAAACAAATAAAGATTTAGGAAAAACAGTAAAGTCAACAAAGGAACAGAAAAAATAGATAAAGATAAATAATACACCCTGCTGGATCTCCAGAAGAATTTATTTCTATCAAAGGCACTAAGAATATTTTAATATCAACTGAGCATCGTTAGCTTCAGTGTGAAAAGTTGTTCATTACCCACAAACACTGGTTTTCAAACATTCAAAACTACAATAATAAAACAGGTTCCAGGAGACACAGAGGACGGGTGTCATTTTAAATACGTCCACCATCATCATAAAAACTACTGGCAGTATATGAGGAGGTGCAGCTGCAAGTAATTAGAAATCGCCACAGCAACAATTTAACGATGAGACATTTTCACCTTTAGCTTCACAACTTCCACAACTCTACGATTTCTGAATGCAGTTTTCTTCTTTACCCATATAAACAGATGACTACAACTGAATGAACATCTGGCCGAAAAACAGCCAATTCTGAAATGACTTTTGATGTGCTTATAGACACAAACATCATCAAGCTGTCAGATTGCACAATATACACTGATCCATTACAACATTAAAACTCCAGACAGGTAAATAGAATAACATTTATTATATCGTTACGATGGCACCTGCCAAGGGTGGGATATATTAGGCAGCAAATAAACAGTCAGTTCTTAAATTTCATGTGTTGGAAGCAGCAAAAATGGGCAAGCAAAAAGATCTAATTGTACTTTGACAAGGACAAAATAATAATGGCTAGATGACAATAAGTCTTGTTGGGTGTTCATGGTATGCAGTGGTAGTACCTACTAATAGTGGTGTAAGGAAGGACAACCAGCGTCAGGTTCATGGACGCTCAAGGCTCAATGATGCATGCTGGGAGTGAAGATTATCCCGTCTGGTCCAATCATACAGAAGAGCTACTGTAGCCCAATTTGCTGTTATGTGTGCCGTGATAGAAAGGTGTCAGAACCCACAGTGCATCACAGTTTGCTGCATTTTTTTCTATTATACTTTTTTTCTATGTGTGTCTGTGAGGTGCTGTGTGTGTGTGTGAATGGTGTAGTGTGTTTGTGTAAGGGGCACTCTGTGTGTGAAGGGTGCAGTGTGTGGGGGGTGCTGTATGTGGGTGAGGGTGATGTGTGTGTGAGGGATGCTGTATGTGGGTGAGGGTGCTGTGTGTGTGAGGGATGCTGTATGTGGGTGAGGGTTGCTGTATGCGGGTGAGGGGTGCAGTATGCAGGTGAGGGGCACTGTATGCGGGTGAGGGTGCTGTGTGTGTGTGAGGGGGGCAGTGTGTGTTCTCTCCTGTCCTCCTGCAAGCACAGCACTGTATCGGAGCATTTCCATGGCAACGCTCCGACCAGCCTGCTCGTGGAGGAACATGGAGCCTTCCAGCCCCTTCTTTCCCTCTGCTGGAACTAAGTGCCAGCGGGCCGGTGAGGGAAATGAAAGGAGCTCCCCTGCCGGTCTTGGCCCACAGCCATCTAGGCCCAACGGGCGTTTTCTGCAGAACCCACAACCACCCACCTAAAATTCCAAAGGTTGACTACCCCTGCTCTAGACAATGTTCTGCTGGGAAACCTTGCATTCATGTGAATGTTACTTTGACACCAACTACCTAGTGACCGTTGCAGACCATGTTCACCCCTTCATGACAATGGTGTTCCCTGATGGCAGTGGCCTCTTTCGGAAGGATAATGCACCCTGCCACACTGAAACAAATGTTCAGGAATGGTTTGAGGAACATAACAAAGAGTTCAGGGTGTTGCCTTGGCCTCCAAATTCCCCAGATCTAAATCTGATTGAGCATCTGTGGGCTGTGCTGGAACAACATATCCAATCCATGGTGGTCCCACATTGCAAATTGCAGGGTTTAAAGGATTATCTTCTAATGTCTTGGTGCAAGATACCACAGGACACGTACAGAGGTCTTGTGGAGTCCATGCTTCGACGTATCAGAGCTGTTCTTGCAGCACAACAGAGACCTACACGTTATTAGGCATGTGGGTTTAATGTTGTGGCTGATCAATATATATATATAGAGAGAGAGAGAATGGAATAAAATCACCTGCCACAATAATTCTGAACTGAATGAATTGTTGCCCTAAAACAAGAGCTGATATTTTGTCAATAATCTTAGAAGATCGAGAATGAAACAACCAGCAAAACACAACTGTAACCTAAGGTATAGTGCAGTGCCCTTTTAACAAAAAAGTATGGAACACTAACAGGATTATTATCATTTAAAATTTCAGTACAATTTGTTCTGCCTAGCTGAATTGTTATAGAGAGAGGCACAGAAATAAGGGTTTCTACGACTCCTTCTCCCAAATGCCTCTGGGTTATAATTATGGGCATTTCATGCCAAGACCCTCACGCACGTGTGCCATGGCAACAGCAAGTTCTTGTTCTTAACCACTTCCATTTCTGCAATGGCAGCAGTTCCTAATAAAGGCTTGCGATAATTACTACTTCCATACCAAAATGATTTTATGTGCAGCCCGGAGGTGGATTAGAGCAAGCCTGTCTCAAACATACAGTGATTTTGCCACCCACTGGACATTTAAAAAATACTCTTTTTATTACATAATCCAGTTTATTTTAGTCTTCCATCATCCTGTCCTATTGTGTTTTACACCCCACCTCATATAGAGTGTAAGCTCTTTTGAGCAGGGTCCTCTTTAATCTGTCATTCCTGTAAGTTTTCTTTTAGTAAGTCTCCTATTTATAGTTAAATCCACCCTCTTATAATATTGTATAGCGCTACGGAATCTGTTGGCGCTATATAAATGGCGATAATAATAATAATCAGGTATCTGTGTCCATCCTACTTAAAGGACACTCTGCTAAATTGGTATGAGGTATACAGGGACCAGACTGCAATGACAGCAAGTAACATGTTCATGAACAGATTAAAGAGTAATTAAAGACTTTTAACAAAACAGCCTTATATTACAGTAAATATACAATATAAACCACAAAAAATATATATATTTTTAGAACTCTACATGTTCCCTTGTCACTATTTCATAGCTTCAATTCTGCTTCTATTAAAGGACCAGTGACTAATTTAGAAGGAAAACACCAGGGGAAGATCAGATACCTAGGAATGGCTAGGAAATACACAAACAGTAAATTCTATTGCACAACTTTAATGTTTCATCTCCCCGGTGTATGTCCCTTTAATTAGGTGTTTTCCGATTTTTAGGTTTTACGATTTCCTGTTGAGACACATTTTGAGAAATGCAGCAAACTGCTCCCTCAAGGGGGCAGCGTAGAGTCAGCTGTGAGAAATAATGCCCAGGTTATGTAGGGCATTATGAGAGTGGTAGTCCTATGGACAGCCACCAATACTGAATCCACAGTACTACAGATTAACCCCTTAAGGACCAAACGTCTGGAATAAAATGGAATCATGACATGTCACACATGTCATGTGTCCTTAAGGGGTTAAATAAGGAAAGACAAACTTTATAATTCCCTTTCATTTCACATTGCACCAAAGGAATTATTTTATCTCTCAAGGGAAACAGTTTAAACAAACCATTAAGATAGCATTGGAAAGAATGATAAAGAAACAGGTTTCATTTCATAGGAAAGAAATAACAAACTGCTTAACAGGCGACTGAGCGACTGAGTCTGAACAAATACACATCCTTAAAAAGGAAAGATTGGTGTTGGCAGATTAAAACAGCCATCATCACATGGAGTCTTAATTGTGTTGACATAGCTGGCAAGTGGCTTCTTAAAAATAATTTCACGCTGGGTGGCAAACTCTGTGCCAGCGAAATGGAGAGAGGTAGTGGAAGAAAAATAAAAAGGTTTCTGCAAAAATGTGCACATCATTTAAAAACTAAAGATGATGGCTAAGCTTGCAATGCAGATGTTTGTGAGCCCACTTCACAGCGAGGTTAGCTTAGCATCGTGGAAAATGTAGCTGTAACCTCCATGGACAAGGTTTACCATAGCTGCTTGGCACAGAAGATGGTATGAATCAGGTGCCTGGATAAAATATGAAAGAGATCATTGTATGTCACTTCATCAGCTGGTCACGTAAAGGGTTAAATAGTCCTTTCTCACCATGGTTGATCCAGGGAACATGCGCATATTTATTGCGCAATAAACGCATTTATCCACATTAAAATATTGGAAAGTATATTATTATTTTAGGTAGGAGTGTCAAAATTTCTCCATGTATCTATTGCTGGGTCTATAATAATACCCATTACTCCCTGTCAATCAAAACTGTGCATTGCCAATCTGAAGGTACAAGCGATTACACCTGCAGGAACATTCTATAGTTTCCACGGCGACGGCTTTACTTTTAGAATGTCACCCCCGCCCCTCCCCCCCAGTGTTTTGAATGAAGATATTGATAAATAGTGTAATCTTGCTGTTTGAATACCCTCAGATTAATTTTGCTAATCCAGATCAGGGGCATTCCGAGATTAACCCTGAGGGAGTTGGGAGCCAATGTGTAAAAAAATAAAAAAAATAAAAAGCATACAGGGGTATTTACTAAGGTGAGATTTGTTTGAAATTCAAACATAATTTAAGTCAGAAATTGCCAAAACTGACGACATTACCCCTGCGACTCAGAGGAAACGCCGCTCAGATGAACCAGTGACCTGAACCAGATTGGGAACAATACAGTCCACATATGGCCACTCATACAGGCCTACATTCACAAATGTTTTCATTTCTTTTAAGTTCCTTGTCTCCTTTTCCTTCTGTTGATAAGCATTTATCCAAGATTTACAGCCTTACTCTAGTTCCCACGTAGGGCGATGGCCATAGACAGAACTATAAGCTGGAACTGTTACTGCACTATGCTGCTAAATGCTAACCTGACAGGACAACTCTCAATTCACTACCCTAAGCGTGGTGGTGACTGCCTCCCCTCCCCCCCACTGCCCCCCAAGGTTAGGGGCAACCAACACGGACGCCAAACATATCTCTCCCATAGGGGGCCTTTACACACACTCAAGCCACCAACTCACAACCGACTGACACCATAGCCTGGCAATACTATGTACATTGGCATCCTGATCTCGCACACGATTCATCAAACCTCACACTTAGCCTAACTTCACATAACACCCCTGTCTTGCTGGAACACCTAGACTAGCCGGATACCACCCAGCCTGGAGTATTCCGGAACATAGCAAACAGGGTTAATCCCCTTTCACACAGCCCAACCCTAGCTCATCCCGGGTCTGTAACCACACTTGTTCTCTATAAAGTAGAAATGTGCTTTAACTGTTACTTGCTTGGACCTGCCATACTGTTGTTTCCTATGTATGAACAAACTTGAAGCATTGTCTAAGTTTATGTTATGCCTGAATCTTTTTTTCCCACTCACTACAAGCACAAAAAATAAAATTAGCCAAAACTGGAAAAATACTCCCAATCCGTTATGTTTTGAATTTGGCCTTAAATTTTACATACACTTTGAATTCACTGAATTATCGACAATTCTCACTTTCATAAATAACCCTGACAGTGTAAACAAGCCAGGAATTTAATTAAATGCTATGTAAATAAAGTGATAAGCTACAAGCTAGCCAGTTTCCTTCGTACAGAGGAGAAAGCCAAAGTAAAGTTTTTTATGTAATACTTGTTGTTATTGCTGAGATAAATTCATAATGTTTATTCTAGATAAATTTATATAAAGTATGATGGTAGTAATGTTCATTTCATCCTGAGTACACCAATTATATACAAGAAATATATACAATATATACAGTATATACAGAATTTTCCATGTGTGGGATAAAGTTCATCTAATGTGTATACACTCGGTGATGATCCTTATAATCGAGAAAAAATTGAAAAAAATTAAAAATTAAAAAATTTTTAAAAATCCCCAATCTAAATCAGAAAAGGAAAAAAAGGGGAAAAAAAGGGAAAAAAAGAAAAAAGGAAAAACAATACATGAGAGTCCTGGAAGTCCAAAATATAGTGCACTATATATAGCTGTATATGGATGGATCTCACCGATGTAGAAATATTTTTCTTGGTGTACACAGTCAAAGTTGTAATCAGATGATGATCTGAACGAAGGTGAAGGTAATTTTTGATGTAGAAAACGGGCAGTCACTCCATCAGCTCCCAGTAGGTATGTGGTCAGAACAGCAGATCAATCTTTATACGGACGGACATGCTCAGGCAATCTTTGAATGGACGGGCTGCGCGCTCGGGACATCTATGTCCCTTCAATGGCCCCTGTGTTCTGTATTTCTATTAAACAAGATAAAGTGTAATTTAAATACATGATGTTGGCTGCAAAACATAGCCGTATCCACTCCGAGGTATTCCCCTACTTCCGCGTTCTGACGTCAGCCAACGTCGCTGCGTCATGCGTCCTCTACTCAAAAATTACCTTCACCTTCGTTCAGATCATCATCTGATTACAACTTTGACTGTGTACACCAAGAAAAATATTTCTACATCGGTGAGATCCATCCATATACAGCTATATATAGTGCACTATATTTTGGACTTCCAGGACTCTCATGTATTGTTTTTCCTTTTTTCTTTTTTTCCCTTTTTTTCCCCTTTTTTTCCTTTTCTGATTTAGATTGGGGATTTTTAAAAATTTTTTAATTTTTAATTTTTTTCAATTTTTTCTCGATTATAAGGATCATCACTGAGTGTATACACATTAGATGAACTTTATCCCACACATGGAAAATTCTGTATATACTGTATATATTGTATATATTTCTTGTATATAATTGGTGTATTCAGGATGAAATGAACATTACTACCATCATACTTTATATAAATTTATCTAGAATAAACATTATGAATTTATCTCAGCAATAACAACAAGTATTATATATATTTATTACTATATAGAGTGCGGTATTCATAATAATTTTTTTATGATTGTGATTAGGAGGTTGTCTTTGGGGTTAACCTCGAATACCTGCACCTAGATGTAATTGAGTGCCAGCACACATTGTATTTTTTTTTTTTTTAAGTTTTTTTATGTCACCAACAGAACAGAGGACACACCAATCCTTCACAATAAACAGAATAGCACACAGAGCATGCCATGTGCTGCATCTGCTCTATACATAGTCTCTAGCTGTCCAAATACTTACGAACTGCACTGTACCTCAGCTTGTGCTTTTTATATCTCAATGATTGCTTCAGTTTTACTGAGCTCTGTGGCGGAAGGGACAAAACTTGCAAAAAAATCTGTATCAGATAATCAACAAGAGAAGACTTATTTTGCACATTCTCAATTTAATGTGATTTTTTAGTGTACTTTTGCACTGGGTTTTTTGATAGTGCATGTCATGAGATGTGTAACAATCCGTTTCATGAATTCTATCATGTTCGTATGTAAAAAAGGAACACTATAGTCACCAGAACTACAGCTTATTCTATTTGTTGTGGTGAGTAGAATCATTAGCTTCAGGGAAAATGCATTGTTTACATTACAGCCTAGTAAGAACTCCACTTGCCACTCCTCAGATGGCTGCTGGATGTGCTTCCTGGTGCCATGTTGCACAGTTTGCAGCACTGCCATTCAGTGTCTCCACCCTTTGCGTGCAGACACTGAACGTTCCTCATAGAGATGCATTGATTCAATTCATCTTTATGAGAAGATGCTGATTGGCCAGGGCTGTGTTTGACTTGTTCTGGCTCTGCCCCTGATCTGCCTCCTTGATGACAGTCTCACCCAATCCTATGCTGAAGCATCGTGATTGGCTCAGAACAACACTTCAGCTGATGTCAGCAGACAGCAGGCAGGTCAGGGGAGAGGCAGCAGCTGCAGACTGGAATACAAGTAAGATTTTACTATATTTAAGGAGGCATGGGGGGTGGGGCAGGGCGGGCTAGATGGTGGTTTTAATACTATAGGGTCAGGAATACATGTTTGACCCTATAGTGTTCCTTTAATTCTTTATCACTTGGTCAAAGAATGTCCACATTCTTACTAAGGGAAACAGGAAACCCATATTTTCATTGTCTCATCCACTTATTTTTACGGTAAGTTGCGATTGTGTTTTCTATATTGTTAGTTTAAAGCTAAGGGCGCTAAATCAGAAAGAAAATTTTCTGTCTGGCTGTTTCTTACAATGAAAATGGTTGTTACATTTCTGAAGGTTTCCATCTTTGTGACAATGTTATGTGTATTTGTAATCCTACACATCTCTTCCTTGTGCTAGTCCTTCAAGTCTGAACTTGTACCTTTTCATTGTAGCTATATCCGTCTGTCTCTCTTTTTTTTTTAACATCAAAGTACTATGATGTCTCTTTAATAGAAGCACTTTGCAAACAGCTTCAGTTCTCAGCCCTTGCACTGTGATGTTAAAATGATGACAGGATATCCTCTAAACGAAAAGTCTTGTTTTGAGCATTTTAACCCAAGTGGCACAGAAGTGCCAAACACAATATCATTTTATTTTTGTCAAATTAACTGTGTGCTCAAATTATGATATAAAATAATATAAATCAAGAATATAAATGTAATAACCTAAATAAATCTGTTTTAAGGGCAGTCTAAGTACTATAAACACTGCATGCCATTGCAGTGGTTATGGTGCTAGTAGACTATGGTTGCCGTTCCCCAGATTTTGGTTGAATTGTTTGAGACCTTACGCCAAAAATGAGGCAGCACAAGGCAATGACAGGCCACCACAATGCATTGTGAAAGTTATCTATTTCAGCCATATTTTGGAGGTTACTAGTACCAGTGGATTGCACCTACAGCTTATTAGCACCATAATCACTACAACAACATGAAGTGGTTGTGGTGCTTAGACTGTTCATTTAATTACCCACATTTCTCCGATGTAGTTAGCTATCAAAATAATGCTGAAGACAGGTTTTTATAATAAACTCCTGTGTGTATCCCTGTTTATACAGCTAATCTTTATATTTTGAGTAATGATTCAGAAACAAAGCACACACACATTTATTCCACATATCACCAAGCATGTGGTCAAACAATCACGATTCCAGTGGAAAATGAAACAAGCAAACCAAGGTGGATCTTTTATCAAAACAAAAAAGTTAGTCTTGAAAAGTAAGGGAGTGTCTGGTTTAAACATTTTAGAGGCTGGTGATCTCTTCGACACTCAAGTAATGTGGACTATAGTTACTCAATAACAAATGAGCTGAGCTTGTACAATTACAAGGGAAACTACATTTAAAAAAAATTATTCTTTCTTTATTTTGCATGAGAAAAATGTGTTTGATGCTCATTCATATCTTCTCTAAAAGAAAAAATGGGCAGTTCCTCTTGACATTTTGTGCCGGTATTCAAATGTTATGCACGGCCATAATGTGTATACTTCTATGCACAAAAAAATAAAATAAATAAATAAAATGGACTGCTTTCGTTTAACACGTTTCATTGACTATATAAACCATTAATCAGCGAACAAGAACTAGCAGCAATAATTGTGACAAAATAAATCAACCATTTCTTATGGCAGTTCATTATTATGTATTTTATTGTATTTTATTTTTTCGTTTATTGCCTTTTGTTTGTTTTTTTATTGTTGTTTACAAATTTGAAATAAAAAGGTTTCGTTTTTGCTCAAAAATAAAAAATGCCACACAACATTCCAACAGGTTACAATGACAACCTTAAGCTTCTACATACATGTGCTTATGAGTTACTGTAAACTAAAGTCTTGTATTGTATACAATATGCTCCTGTTCACATATCAAGGATAAATTCACCAGGCACGGAACCTTCAAGATCTGGAAGCCAGTATGAGCAATTTGGGTCTTATGGCATCTAATGGAGCTAAAGACGCACACTTAACAAGCCTGGATCCCTCAAAGATATCTGTCTCCCCTGGGACACTCAAATAGCTTGTTCTGTCAACATTTTCAGCTGCTGATTATGGTTTCCTATGGGCAGTTTTATTCAACGGTGTAAATCGCAATAACAAAATGGATTTTAAAAAATTATAAATGTAGAAAGGGGAGGGGAAAGTGAAGGGGCGCCACCGCGAGGTAAAACCCTGACTAAGTTCTCTGCTTTATTGTTATAGTGTCTCTGTAGTCCTGCCATAGTGCCCACGTCTTGTGAAACGCAGTAAGGGCTTTGTGTATTGTGGATGTCAGTTTGCGCATAAATTGGTTTTCTTCAATTTTTGCTTTAGCCTTGGTAGCGTATTTCAGTATCCTCCTGCTCCTCTGATTGACTGAGTGGGCTCTTAGGGCCGCCATCTTGGCTAAGTTTTTGGTTTCTGCTTCCCTGAGAGAAGAGGGTCCCCACTGAGGCCTCTTTTTTAGAATTCCTCCTCTGAGAGGGCTTTATAGTAGGGTGACTATATGTCCCCTATACTCAAGATATCGCTTGTGGGCTATTCTAGGCTGTTTAAAGTTGCCATTTATAGTGTGCCGTGCTCAGAGCACTGGACTCAAACGTTCATTCAAGTCAAGTCAAGGTAGGCCCCATTGAAAAAGCATTTTTAAAGGACCACTCTAGGCACCCAGACCACTCAGCTTAATGAAGTGGTCTGGGTGCCAGGTCCAGCTAGGGTTAATCCATTTTTTTTATAAACATAGCAGTTTCAGAGAAACTGCTATGTTTATAATAGGGTTAATCCAGCCTCCAAATCCTCTAGTGGCTGTCTCATTGACAGCCGCTAGAGGCGCTTGCGTGCTTCTCACTGTGAAAATCACAGTGAGAACACGCAAGCGTCCATGGAAAGCATTGTAAATGCTTTCCTATGAGACCGGCTGAATGCGCGCGCAGCTCTTGCCGCGCGTGCGCATTCAGCCGAAAGAGAGGAGAGGAGGAGGATCGGAGGTGGAGAGCTCCCCGCCCGGCGCTGGAAAAAAAGATAAGTTTTAACCCTCTCCTCTCCCCAGACCCCGGCGGGAGGGGGACCCTGAGGGTGGGGGCACCCTCAGGGCACTATAGTGCCAGGAAAACGAGTATGTTTTTCTGGCACTATAGTGGTCCTTTAAGGACAGGAAATCCTCAAACAGGGGATCAAGCTGGGCAGCTGTAAAGCAGAGATAGCATCCTCACACTGCAGATGTTTGTGAATTACATTTGTTTACAGGCTGGCTAAACATCATGTGAAGAACCTCAACCAAGTCCACCCAAGAAAATAATTTTTTGAATAAATACCTACAAAGAACTGCAATACAATTTCAAATAAAAGGCACTTCAAAATAAAACTTGTTGGCTTTAGTACAATGAGTATACTAAACTTAGGAAACAAATGCTGACTTCTTATTACATTTAAAACCATCTTGGACACTATGCAACTCCCAGCACTTATATTTTGTAACAAAAACACTTTTTAACTCTTTACTTGCTGTAATATTTTCATGAGCTGATCATCTTTAATGTCCTTGACTAAGAGGTGACATGCAAGGAGTTATCCTACCCGTCATGTTATTAAATGGACTTTTACTGTCTTTATAAACAATCTGATCCAATCATAAACACATTCCTTAGTTCCGCAATCCTGCAGGGACATTAAATCCATGAATATCGCCCAGGAAGTGTATCTATATAGCATCCCATGTATATTGCCTGGTAAGGGTGGCTATATATCAATTCTTCATAGGTGTAGCAATATTTACATTCCTTACATGGGGTTAGATTCTAATTGAAGCAAAAAAATTTCCAAGTTCAGATTTGCTGTCTGTATACGTAAAAACAGTATCAGAGTTATCAGGACATGCCGTACTCGAAAACAAGAGAACTCTCAATGTAACCTTCCTGGTAAAATATTTTATAAATAAATAAGTGAAAATAAAAGTGAATTTCAAATTTAAGGCCACCATATCCAAACAGGAATATTAGCAGAGTTCAAGAATGTTTCCAGTTTGGATATTTATATCTCGAATTTGAAATTCACTTTGAGTTCTCACCTTAGTGAATATCCCTGATAATGTCCGTAAACCAACATATCAACCGAAGCGACAAAATCTGAACTTGCTCATGAAAACCACCGAAAAGTACAAAGGTAACAAAATTCACACTTGCGACTAATCCAGTACAGTACCATCAACAAGTAGAGCAGTATATTACCAATTCTGTGTCACTAATTGCCTATGTTTTGTTCAGAGCAGCTAGGACACAGGGCTGCGGTGTGAAAATTACTGACAGATTAGTTAATTGTTGCACTGTGCATAATTTAATCTGATACACACTTTATTCCATACAGCATACCAACACATTGTTTGCTGCACAGTAACAGCCCATGTACCTATAGCCAACCTTAGACAGTCACTGCAGAATAAAAGGTCTATACAGGCATGGATCCTCTGTGATCTGTCACTCACTGCATTGAGTGTCACTCCATGAAATTAATCTGCACTCACTTTACACAGAGCCCAAATGTCACTTGGAGGACAGTTTTCTATTATCTCTGTGCATCAACCATCACACAACTCTAATCCATCCCATGTGACCCCCTGCTGACCCCCTGCTGACCCCCCATATCCCACCCATCCAGTAAATAATGCAGTGAGCTCCCCTCTTCCCAACACTGAGAACTCTCTGTAACTGTCCCATGGAATGCAGTAAAGTGATAAAGCAGCACCTCCTGGTAGGATCTGGAGAGCTCCTTCCTGATCATGGCACTGGGCAGGTCCAGGGTGCTGGATGTCGGAGCACGGTTCGGTAGGATGCAGCCTCTCTCTCTCTGTGTCTGTACTCCCGGGTCCCGTGCTTTCCCTCTCTCTCAGGCCAGCAGGCTCAGGTTAGTGCGCATGCCCAGGACTGCCTTGCTCGCGGGGGCTGCCGGGAAATGTAGTCTAGCTTAAACTTTTCACCCTAAACTTTTCACCATTCTTTGGTATCCTCAGTAAATAGTGATAGATGCTGCAAAATGGAAGGGTTTTGTTTAACTGGTGTATGTGAAGACAAGCATTGGATCTGGGGTTAATATTGTTGTTGAGATGAGTATAGTGTTTTTTGTTTTTTTAAAGAATAACTGAATTAAAGACACATTTAATGTGAGTGCAGGTCTCTGGAGTTGGTCTGGATTACAATTTACACAATTCATACTGAAACATCAAAGGATCCAGGTAGTCTATCCTTGGGCGTTGGTATTGAGTACAGTTATATGGGGACACACTATATATAATATATACTGTATATTTATACTCATACAGTGTGCTCCCTAATCACAGAAATCTAAACTATATTAGTAATATTGCCAGGATGCAGTTATCCGTGGCATGTAACCCTCCTTTGTCCACTGAATGCAGGCTCCTGGACCAATAGAATGGCATGCCCTACGCATTTCGCAGACATCCATTCAAAATCCTCAGAATCACAACTAGAGTTTGCCGGTATAAAACTGAAGTAAGACAAATAAAAATACGCTTTTTGAAAAATGTTTTGTTGTTGTTGCATTTGATGTTGGCACACCTGTAATTGCTCTTTATAAGTATACCTATGAAATGTATTGGGCAGGAAACCATAGAGTTAGCTGCTGGGAATTCTGAAAACTTTGGATGAGAGATCCTGAGATGCCACAAAAAAAATGCATTTTTAATACAATGTTATGTCTGTATTTTAGAAAAATTAAATGTTATCTTTAGAAGTGTTTTACAAAAAGCGTACTTGTTATATACTAACATTCATGCCGTAAAAAGGCTGAAAAGAGACGTGTCCATCAAGTTCAACCTTCCTCACATTTGTATTTTGCTGTTGTTTCAAAAGAGGCAAAAAAAAAAAAACTCAACAGTTTAAAGCACTTCCAATTTTGCAACAAAACAGGAAAAAATTACTTCTTGACCCCAGAATGGCAGTCAGATTGATCCTTGGATCAAGCAGCTATTACCCTACATTGAAAAATGATGTCATTGAATATTATGTTTTTTGCAAGTATGCATCCAGTTGCTGTTTGAACATCTGTATGGACTCTGATAAAACCACTTCTTCAGGCAGAGAATTCCACATCCTTATTTTTGTTACAGTAAAAAAACCTTTCCTTTGCCTTAGACAAAATCTTCTTTCTCCCATTCTAAACGCATGACCTCGTGTCCTATATAAAGTCCCGTTTGTGAATAGATTTCCACACAATGGTTTGTTTATATATATATATATATATATATATATATATATATATATATATATATATATATATATATATATATATATATATATATATATATATATATATACACACACACACACACACATATATATTTCCATAATGTTATGATATCCCCTCTGAGGCGACGTTTTTCTAAACAAAGAGGTTTTACTTGGTTAACCTTTCTTCATAGCTGAAATGTTCCATTTCTTTTATTAATTTTGTAGCTCGTCTCTGCACTTTTCTAGTGCCATGATATCCTTCTTTAGAACAGGTGCCCCAAATTGCACATCATATTCAAGGTGTGGTCTTACCAGTGATTTATAAAGAGGCAAAATGATATTCTCATCCTGAGAATTAATGTCCTTTCTTATGCATAGCAAAACCTTACTGGCGTTAGCCACTGCAGATTGACATTGCATATTGCTGTCTAGTGTCTATAACAATTCCCAAATCCTTCTCTGGTGTGGTTATCCCTAATTCACTACCATTTAGGGTGTAAGTTGCTTGTGCATTCTTTACCCTGAAGTGCATAACTTTGCATTTTTCAACATTAAATTTAATCTGCCATTTGAGTGCCCAATCCCCCAATCTATCCAAATCTCTCTGCAGCAAAGCTATATCCTGCTCACATTTTATTACTTTACAGAAATTTGTGTCATCTGATACATGGCTTTCAATGTCTATTTCAAGATCATTTCTAAACATGTTAAATAGAAGGAGTCTCAGAACAGAACCCGGAGGGACACTACCTCTGTTCAGCTTGAAAATTCAACATTAATGACAACTCTCTGTACTCTATGTCTAAGCCAATGTTCTATTTTCATTTTCATTTGTTCAGTTTTCATCTAGACCAATTTCTTTGAGATTGAACACTAACCTATTGTGAGGAACCGTATCAAATGCCTTGGCAAAATCCAAGTAGATCACATCCACTGCAACACCCTTATCTATACTTCTGCTTACTTCTTCGTTTTTGTTCCTCCTCATCTGTATATATGTTATAGAGAGCACTTTCACAAACTATGAAAACTCATATCTTGATGCCATTGCCCACAGCCTAGTGATATATTAACTTTTACTTATTTTATTGCTATTGTATATTCATCTCCGCAATAAAATGAATGAAGAAATTCAGTGCTGTGTTTCAGTCAAAACAGTACAGTGCTACAATCAGTTACAGTGACAGAGTTTTTTCCAGTGGTCTGATCAGTTACTGTCGCAGTGAAAGGGTTAGTGCAGTGCTCTGATCAGTGGCAGTGAAAGGGTTAACGCAGTGCTAGTTGTAGTGGCCGTGAAAGGGTTAATGCAGTGCTAGTTACAGTGGCCATGAAAGGGTTAGTGCATTGCTAGTTACAGTGGAAGTGAAAGTGTTAGTGCAGTGCTAGTTATAGTGGCAGTAGAAGGGTTAGTGCAGTGCTAGTTACAGTGGTATTGAAAGGGTTAGTGCAGTGCTAGTTACAGTGGCAGTAAATGGGTTACTGCAGTGAAAGGGTTAGTGCAGTGCAAGTTATAATGGCAGTAAAAGGGTTAGTGCAGTGTTAGTTACAGTGGCAGTGAAAGGGTTAGTGCAGTGCTAGTTACAGTGTCAGTGAATGGGTTAGTGCAGTGCTAGTTATAGTGGCAGTGAAAGGGTTAGTTCAGTGCTAGCTATAGTGGCAGTGAATGGGTTAGTTCAGTGCTAGTTATAGTGGAAGTGCATGGGTAAGTGCAGTGCTAGTTACAGTGGCAGTGAGAGGGTTAGTGCAGTGCTAGTTACAGTGTCAGTGAAAGGGTTAGTGCAGTGATGGTTATAGTGGCAGTGAAAGGGTTAGTTCAGTGCTAGTTACAGTGGCAGTGAAAGGGTTAGTTCAGTGCTAGTTATAGTGGCAGTGCATGGGTAAGTGCAGTGCTAGTTACAGTGGCAGTGAGAGGGTTAGTGCAGTGCTAGTTACAGTGTCAGTGAAAGGGTTAGTGCAGTGCTAGTTACAGTGGCAGTGAATGGGTTAGTGCAGTGCTAGTTACAGTGGCAGTGAAAGGGTTAGTGCAGTGATAGTTACAATGGCAGTGAATGGGTTAGTGCAGTGCTAGTTACAGTGGCAGTGAAAGGGTTAGTGCAGTGCTAGTTACAGTGGCAGTGAAAGGGTTAGTGCAGTGCTAGTTACAGTGGCAGTGAAAGGGTTAGTGCAGTGCTAGTTACAGTGGCAGTGAATGGGTTAATGCAGTGTTACAGTGGCAGTGAGAGGGTTAGTGCAGTGCTAGTTACAGTGGCAGTGAAAGGGTTGATGTAGTGCTAGTTATAGTGGCAGTGAAAGGGTTAGTGCAGTGTAGTTACAGTGGGAGTGAAAGGGTTAGTGCAGTGCTAGTTACAGTGGAAGTGAAAGGGTTAGTGCAGTGCTAGTTACATTGGCAGTGAGAGGGTTAGTGCATTGCTAGTTACATTGGCAGTGAGAGGGTTAGTGCAGTGCTAGTTACAGTGGCTAGTTAACAGTTACAGTGGCAGTGAGAGGGTTAGTGGCAGTGAAAGGGTTAGTGCAGTGCTAGTTACATTGGCAGTGAAAGGGTTAGTGCAGTGCTAGTTACAGTGGCAGTGAAAGGGTTAGTGCAGTGCTAGTTACAGTGGCAGTGAAAGGGTTAGTGCAGTGCTAGTTACAGTGGCAGTGAAAGGGTTAGTGCAGTGCTAGTTACAGTGGCAGTGAATGGGTTAATGCAGTGTTACAGTGGCAGTGAGAGGGTTAGTGCAGTGCTAGTTACAGTGGCAGTGAAAGGGTTGATGTAGTGCTAGTTATAGTGGCAGTGAAAGGGTTAGTGCAGTGCTAGTTACAGTGGGAGTGAAAGGGTTAGTGCAGTGCTAGTTACAGTGGAAGTGAAAGGGTTAGTGCAGTGCTAGTTACATTGGCAGTGAGAGGGTTAGTGCATTGCTAGTTACATTGGCAGTGAGAGGGTTAGTGCAGTGCTAGTTACAGTGGCAGTGAATGGGTTAATGCAGTGTTAGTTACAGTGGCAGTGAGAGGGTTGATGTAGTGCTAGTTACAGTGGCAGTGAAAGGGTTAGTGCAGTGCTAGTTACAGTGGCAGTGAAAGGGTTAGTGCAGTGCTAGTTACAGTGGCAGTGAAAGGGTTAGTGCAGTGCTAGTTACAGTGGCAGTGAGAGGGTTAGTGCAGTGCTAGTTATAGTGGCAGTGAATGGGTTAATGCAGTGCTAGTTACAGTGGCAGTGAGAGGGTTAGTGCAGTGCTAGTTACAGTGGCAGTGAATGGGTTAATGCAGTGCTAGCTATAGTGGCAGTGAAAGGGTTAGTGCAGTGCTAGTTACAGTGGCAGTGAGAGGGTTAGTGCAGTGCTAGTACAGTGGCAGTGAATGGGTTAGTGCAGTGCTAGTTATAGTGGCAGTGAGAGGGTTAGTGCAGTGCTAGTTACAGTGGCAGTGAAAGGGTTAGTGCAGTGCTAGTTACAGTGGCAATGAGCGGGTTAGTGCAGTGCTAGTTACAGTGGCAGTGAATGGGTTAATGCAGTGCTAGCTATAGTGGCAGTGAAAGGGTTAGTGCAGTGCTAGTTACAGTGGAAGTGAATGGGTTAGTGCAGTGCTAGTTACAGTGGCAGTGAGAGGGTTAGTGCAGTGCTAGTTACAGTAGCAGTGAATGGGTTAGTGCAGTGCTAGTTACAGTGGCAGTAAATGGGTTAGTGCAGTGCTAGTTACAGTGGCAGTGAGAGGGTTAGTGCAGTACTAGTTACAGTGGCAGTGAATGGGTTAATGCAGTGATAGTTACAGTGGCAGTGA